CGCAACTGCCTCCCGCTTCGAGGTCCCCAGACAGCGCCCCTCCCCCGCAGATGTTGCAGCCTTCGAGAAGGGTCTGCAGGAGGCCCAGGAATTCCTCCTGAACGCTCTCGGAGATCAGCTTGATATTGTTGCCAAGACGGTTTCCATCCCTGCCAAATACCAGGAGAAGGCGCGTAAGTTCATCACCCGCGAGCAGGAGGCCAAGGGCGAGGACAGCATCCCTGTGCGTGCCATTGTTGGTGATGCCAAGGGCTCTCGATGCGAGGTTTCCCTTCGTGGTCCCTCGGCCCTGGTGGCTGAACTTGCCGCCAAGGTGGAGGCTTTCGTTGTGGAGCAGGAGCAGGATGATCTGGAGCGTGGTTACACCACTAGCTTCGACTTCCCTCAGAAGTACGCCAACTTCCTGATTGGCAAGCGTGGTGAAAACATCAACAAGCTCCGCGAGGAGTTCGATGTTGATATCAAGGTGGAGAACGGGAAGGTCGAGGTCAAGGGACCCAAGGCCAAGGCAGATGCTACCCGCATGCGCATCATCAACATGGGCAAGAAGTTGGAAGATGAGACCACTCACATTCTCAAGGTTCCCGCCCAATACCACCGTGAGTTGATTGGCCAACGTGGAAACCAGGTCAACCGTCTTCAGGATCGTTACTCTGTCCGCGTCCAGTTCCCCCGCGCAACTGTTGCCAATGATGACTCCACGGAAACCGGCAGCGATGCTGGTGGTGCTCGTCCCCAGCGCACTCAGCAGGCTCCCGATGAGGTCCTCGTCAAGGGACCCAGCAAGGGCGCCGACTCGGCTCGTGACGAGATCCTCAGCTTGCTGCAATATGTCATTGAGCATGGTCATTCTGCCGCCATCTCTGTGGCACAGAGCCAGGTCGCATCCCTGATCGGCCAGCGTGGCCGTGAGATGGACAAGCTTCGCGCTGATACCGGTGCCCAGATTGATGTCCCTAACGCCAACGATGCGCCGGATGCGTCGGGCCGCGTGGAGATTCGTGTCAAGGGTACTAAGCAGCAAGTTGCCGAGGCCAAGAAGATCTTGCAGCAGCGTGCCAGCGAGTTCGATGCGACTGTGACTAAGACTATTGAGGTTGACAAGAAGTACCACAAGGCTTTGATTGGTGGAGGCGGTATGTTTTCACGCAAAGTGATATGTTTATTTTCCATTACTGACTTCATATAGGTGCCAACATCCGCAAGATTGTCACCGAGGCTGGTGGCCCCACTGATGGCAGCGCCGCCCGAATGGTCCGTTTCCCCCGTCCTGAAAGCACCGAATCGACCATCCGCCTCGAGGGCAACGGCAAGATCGTGGAGAGCATCATCGCCGCAATCGAAGAGTTCGTCAAGGAGCGCCAGGACCAGGTCACAGAGATCCTCGACGTTCCCACCGCCCAGCACCGCATGCTCATCGGCCGTGGAGGTGACACCCGCCGTGGTATTGAGTCTAAGTTTAATGTCACCCTTGATATCCCTAAGCAGGGCTCTGGTCGTACCGACGTGAAGCTTAAGGGCCCCAGCAACGCCGTCGAAAGCGCCAAGGAGCACGTCAAGTCCATGCTGAAGGAGCAGCACGCGGAGACCATCGAGGTCCCTAGCCACCTGCACCACGTCCTTGCCGACAATGGCCACATCTTCCGCCGCCTGCGCAACGATCACCAGGTCACCGTCGACCACGCCGGCCAGCCCGTGCCCGTGCCTGCCCCCTCCGCCGGCGAGGACACCCGCACCACAGCTGAAGGCACCGACATGCCCCTGATCATTGATGACCCCAGCGTAGCCGCCGACGCGCACTCCTGGACTATCGTAGACCACAACACCGACGAAGTCGCCTCTAGCCCCTTCCCCTGGGTTCTCAGCGGCACCCCGGAGAACGTGACCAAGGCCCGCGCCGTCATCGAGAAGGCTCTCGCCTCCGCCACCCAGCAGTCCACTACGGGTTACCTGATCCTGCCGGACCCCAAAACCTACCGCTTCGTCGTCGGCCAGGGCGGCAGCCAGATCAACGCCATCCGCAAGAAGACAGGTTGCCGTATCAATGTGCCCAAGGACCAGGCTCGCGGTGAAGCGATTGAGATCCGGGGTAGCTCCAGCGGCCTGGAAGAGGCCAAGGAGATGATTCTGGAGGCTGTGCAGAATGGACTTCACGGCGCTGCACGGTGAGTGGGTTATGGTTTGTTATTGCGACTGTGGGTTTCATCTGATATAAAAAACCGACTCTTACGCCACCCTTCTCTGCTTTAAATTCGAGCGAGCGGGAACAGTATCATTTTAGTTCTTTTCTTTTGGCTTTTTTACTTCAATTCTTGTTTTCATCATTTTTTTTGGTATCTATTTCATGAATATTGGTTTTTAAAAGAATTTCTTTTTGATCTTGCTTTTGCATTTATTGCTTCTGGCCTTTCTCATCCTATTGTGTCTTCTTTTCTTGTAGCTACTTCCCCAGGTCTGATTCAGACTGTCTACGAGGAATTGATGGACCTTTTCGATTCATTTGTGAAAGAAACAGTGTGTCAGCTGTCCAGGTAGCTTTCCAATCTAAATAATTTGACTACCTATATAGGTATCATGGATGGATTGGAACTCCGTATCTACTCTAGCCGACATGCTATGGTATAAATTGCAATATATAGATTGCCTACTAGAAGTGGAACAGGATCGAAAGCCGCCGAACAGCCAAGCCCGGACCCAACATCTCCATATCTCCTCTCGTCTCCGGTCTATTAGAAATCACTTTCACCGATAGAAATTGGAGACATTGGGGACATATTGGAGAGAAGATGAGGGGATGAGGGGATGAGGGGATGTCGGAAACTGGGATCGTCATTCCCAAAGGAGCAAAGAACTCCGCCAGGACTGATCTGCGCCAATTGCCGTGTTGTCAGTTGGGCGCCTGGTTTGTTAATCATAATATTTTCAGAGGTCCCGAGGTCCATATAACAGATCATGTTGATGAGTCATATCCATATTCCGAAAAAAAAATTAATCCAATATGTCTCTCGACAATACATACAACATATGAATAGATAAAAAGGTAATATAAAAAAAAGAGATGGATACTCATAAGCCCCGAAACTCGAAAAAAAAACGCTCTCTTTGCTCTTTGCTCTTTTAGCCATAGCGACTCCTGTATGGAAAGACGGGTCTTTAAATCTCAGATTCTGAATTCTGACCACACAACCCACTCGCTAGTCCTCTCACAGTCATCTAATTGCAAAAACAAACACTCCCCGACAGCCGGCCAGTTTACTGCTGCTGAGCCTGCTGGGCCTGGAGGTAGTTGAATGCGCCGTATGCGATGGCGCCACCGATGAGGATGACGGCGTAGAGGCCGACGCCGAAGCCGGAGGTGGAGGAAGAAGATGAGGAGTCGGTACTGGTGGTTGCCTTGGCCTTGGGCACGGGGTCACCGGGCTATTTTCGATGGTGTTAGTATTGGTGCCATGTGATTGTGTGGGGTTGGGGGGTGCCGAGGGTAGAAGGGGGAACACATGGAGTGTGGGGAAAAGGTGTATTTGTATTTGGATATTGGGATGCTGGGATGCTTTGGGTTGGGTGCGTACCATGCGCTTCACGTTGCCGACATGCATGCCGTCCTCGAGGAGTGCGCGCGCCTCATCGCTGTGGCCGACGTCGTCGAAGGCTTCGGTGCAGTCTTGGCCGGCGAGATCGAGGAGGACTTCCTCGCCACCACTGTTGGATTTGTTAGCCTATTGGTTTCTGGGATTTAATCCGGGGTGAAGCAATGCGAGACGAGGGAATATAATAGGTCGATGTGGCCTTTTCTCTTTCTCTTGTTTTTGTTTTTTTTTTTTTTCTCTTTTATTCTCCCTCGCTCGCGCTTGCTCTTTGGCTTCGGGTATTGGGATGCTATATTCGGTGGCAGTAGGTAGATATGGTGAGAACGTACGGGTGCTCATTGGCGAATGTGGTGCAGTCGTAGACCTTGTCGTTGATGATCAGGTAGAGATCCTTCTTGTTGTTGTGCTCGGCGACCTCCTGCAGGGTGAGGTCCTTGACTTCAGACATGGTGAATTGAGGTATCTGAATGATATTGTCGTCAGTGGCCAGGTTTCTTGTAAAGACAGGGCAAGTGAAGAGGGGGGTGTGTTGAGTGGAGTTGGCGATAGGAGAAAACGGGCTCCGAGAAATGGGGCTCCGAGAAATGTTGGGAGATAGGAAGTTGACAACTTACGGGGTATTTCGGGGAAATAATAAGTCCAAAAAGCTGCTAGGGTATAGTAAAAGAGGAAGAGAGAGAGAGGGATCGATTATCAAAAAAAAGAATCAGAGCAGAGAAAAAGAACGCCCCAACATTGTAGCTGGTACGTGCGGCTGGGCGGTCTCGTTGTGTGGGGCCCAGGTACAGGGACTTTGATGCCGTGAATTACACCCGGCTTATAAGAGAGAGAGGGGGAATACAAGAGAAAAAGGGGGATTTCTAATTGGATAATATGAATTCTATTACTTTCTATCTCACTTTATCACTCCATGTGCTTATGTCTAAATTGAATCTAGTACACACTCTATGTACACCGTGTACAACATATGTGGTGCTAGATAGGATCTGGGGGGTCCTGACGAATCAGGGGCTGCTTATTAGAGTATGAAGAAGGAAGAGGAGATCTGGCCTTGATGGGGTTTGTGTATACTTCTTAGATTCTTAGATTCTTAGACTCTACTGTAAAATAGTGTACTCCGTAGTAGTACTATAGTATAGTATATAAACTCAACTGCCTGGCCATTCTGCCTGGTTAACCGTAACCTCGGGGGATCAAGTCTCGGGTAGCACCGTCGGGATCCGCTTTCCGCTGGGCGGAATTAAGGGGACATTGGAATGCATAATAAGTACGATATACTAAGTACTAAGTAGTTAGTAAGTAGAATAAGTAGAATGTGTATAAAATATCCATATTACTATGTGCATAATAATATATACCCAAAAAAGCCTCTATCCATTCGTGATCATGACAATGTGCTAGAAATCAAAACGCTCATTTCGCTGGAACTCGCTCATAAAACACAATATACGCTTGCTCGTTCTGTAACCGGTCCCGCTCCCGAAGCTCCCGCGGATTGAAGTCCGTGGCCCGATCGTCATCGAATTTCCGCCAGCACTGCCGCTCCGCATCGCGGACCAGCGAGATGTAGTGTCCGCTGCCCATCGAAGACCCGATATGCCGTAGCACCGCAAAGGCATCGTAGGTAAACGGTGGGACCGTGGCGCCGGTGGTAGGCGGCATACCGGGCTCCCGAGGGGGAGGGTGGGGGTGAGAAATCACGAAATCGTCCATCCGCAGACCGTGAAGCGGGAATTCGATGGGGGTGTGGATCTTCCGTGCGCTTTGGGTCTTAGATGCAGAAAAGCGCTTGAAGTGGACAACGAGAATCTGGGGTGCTCGCGTGATGATGATCTGCTTGGTTGCCATTCGCTTGCATTTACAGTGTGGGCACTTCCAGACCTCGTCGCCGCTCAGCATCTCCTCCTGGCAGTAGCTACGGAGACACTGATAGATATCACCAGCACCGGTTGGTGGGATTTCAACGCTGATACTGTAGAAGGCCTCGTAGGTAGTGGAGGTTTGTCGACAGGTCGTACAGCGCAGTCGACTGGCATGTTGTCCTGCAAATAGTGACGAGATAAAAGACTCCTCTCGGTGGCAGTATCGGTCCCATTCAATTCGGGAAACCTTGGTCATTGGCATTCGCTCTCGTTGCATCTCCTCTGAAAAGGTCAAAGGTCGAAGCGGTGTTCGCTGCCAATTGATATTGAGATCCTCGTGGAGGCAATCCACCACAAAATCGAAGAATTCTTTGGCATCTTGCTGCCGGTCGATGGCCCATTCTCGATTCAAGCGTCCACAGAAGTTCCGGAACGAGGTCGGCATGATGACCTCGATATCGTTCTTCCACAGCGACCGGGTCAGGTTCGCATAAAGTCCCGGCATAACGCCCTGAGACCCCTTCCAATTCTTTTGTACATAATAGCGAAATCGGTTGTCGATGAAGAACCTACTCAGTGGAATCGTTGCGCTGAGACATTGGATGGTGGAATTCATGTAGCACGTCACACCGAAATTGGTCAATCCAGTCCGCGGAAGTTTGAGACGATCTAGGCGGGAGCTTGGAGCGTAGAGGGCTGTTCGATTCGCCGAATTCTGTCGTTGCAAATGGGGTTGAATCTGCCGTCCATCGGAGACCCCACTATAGCTGGGACGGGGCACAGCAGGGGGTGGTCGAGAGGGGGCCACTGACATGTGTGCAGCATAATTCGGAGCAGCGGCAAGGGGAGGACGGGGATCTGCGTGTATCATGGACTGTTGAACATCGTGCGGTTCAGGGAAACGACGCAAGAAAGCCTCATATGTTTGGACAAATGGAGTTGAAGGCTCTGATCCGGTTTCCTCTGGTTCTTCCGTCAGCGAGTCTTCCTCGGCATACGTGCTCGTGTCGATCTCCTCGACTTTAGATTTCTCCATCCACTCGGACAACTCCTTCGAATTCAAAGGAGTGAACTCGCGCAGTCGTCTCTTCCGAATTTCAAGGCTTGAATTTGCACTAGCCATGGTAGGCACTCTCCCGAGCGGCCGACCAGGTCTAGGCACGGGCTTTCTGGCCTGCAGAGAACTCATTACGGCAGCGGTTGAGGATGTCGCAAGGGATTGTTGCCCTAAAAGATCGATCCAGGCATCCAATCCACCAAGCAGGAGAGCCGGAGGCCGCCCAGCCTTCAGCGGCTTGTATGCATTGAACTCGTAAAGAGTGTCATGGAGAGCCCTCAAATGGGGTGATGATGTCCCTATCGGTGAGCCAGCGAGATAGCTGACGGAATCGGCGCTTTGATCATAGTAAACCACAAGGTCGTACTCGTTCCGTTTCTCAAATAAGGCCTGCTCATGTTCTGGTGAAACAACAAGTCGCTCCTCTAGTTCTTCTGCTGACACGTTCTCTTTCAGAACCACAGGTTCTATACAAATGATGGATTTTGCATATACGTGACCATTATCGTACTGGTCTCGGGTCCGAACATCGATCAGCAGCACATTGAATTTCCGCAGATTTTCAAGGAGGCTCTGTGCAGATATAGTTGTGCTGTACGGCAAATCGGGTGAGTTGCTTCGTGTCTCTTGCGTCGAATCCAACCCATTGGGCGTCATAGATCTATACGGATTGTCATCAAAGCCTCCCCGGGTCGGACTGACACGTGGTGAGTTGCTGAATTGTGAGTATCTTGGATTGGTTGAGCGTGTACTCTCCGTTGACCTTCTCGGTGGGTTGGACGTGGGCTTTGATGGCACGGTGAAGACAGGGCTATAGGCCGGGTCAGGAGCACGTGGTAACGATGTGTTAAGCGGAAGCTTCGGCGGAATGGTCGGCAAATTAGATGAAGATCCCATGCCGCGAGGTCCCAATGGACGCCTTGGCGGTGGGGAGCTGTATGTCCCAAGGGGTACGTTCGACGGATGAAGTGGGGTCTGCCCTGCAGATCCTACAATTGGGCTTCCCGGTCCAGCAGTGGCATACTGGTTGGAAGGCGGAGACGCCTTGAGTTTGGCAAAACGTTGCGCAAGCATGTCATCTGGAGGACTGGAAAATCTTTGCGAATGTGCCTCTGTTTCGGGCATTCTTTGATACTGAGTCGGACTTGGCATTCTAGCTAAGTTTGTTCCAGACTCTCGATTTTCACGGCCCCGTGTGGTGACAGAAATTTGTTCTGGGGATCTGGATGTAAATATACCGGTTGGCTGCATGCCACTGATCAAATTATCCTCGATGATGTCCCGCTTGATCGCATCCATAGTGCCTTGTTTGGACCGCACCGCCTTCACTAGATCGGCGAACTCCTTGTACCAATCAGGGCGTTGGCTGACGGTTCGATAGTCTGGGTGATGGGGGATGAGATTGATAGTGATTTCAGAGGCACGAAGGTACTGGACGTAGGCTTTGTCATTGTAGTCGTCATCTGCGAGGTCGATGGCCCTTTGGATTGCATCGGCAGCTGTTGGCAAGAGAATACTAAGCTATGGTCCCTGTTAGAAGAAATAATCCATACAATTGTCAGTAAGTGCGGCACATACCGGCGTAGTATCGTTAACATTTAATGCAGCGGCCTGGTCTTGGAGGTCTTTGATATTGGGGAACCGAGGTCGCCGCGGTGGGATGAGAGGGGCCTTGCCCTTAGGATAGGAATGTGGTCTGTTAACTTTTCTGCTGGGATCCATGTCGTCCCCCACCGAGCAAGGACGCCGGTTGTCCTTCCACGGTGGTATATTTGGGGGAGATGGCAAAGTCGCCGCATCGGAGGACATGGTAGATCCAGGCAGCGACAAGCGGACTTAGCGCATGGTTATGTCCAAGATCAGGAAAACAAAGAGAGTAAAGCCAAACTGTTGGCATAACCAATCCGCCCAAGAGTTGATCAAATTCAAACAACAAACACAAATAACGAACGACAGACTAGAGTAAAGAGGACAGATCCAGGGACGCAATGCGGGATGGGATGCCACTGGGGTAATCAGATGACAGTACTTCACCGCCCCCAGCCTATGACGCCAGGGGCTTAGTCACTATTGAGGTGCCTGGAAGCTCCTCCTCCAACTCACCAGCCTGATCTTCATATTTGCTGCCTCTAAGTGTCTTGGCTCTCTGCAACGCTATTGTGATCTGTGTCCCTTCGATATTACACGCGCATCGGGTGTTTCGCCTTCCACCATGGCAGGCTGGTTCTCTTCAACCTCGCCGCTCGATGAGCAAATCGAGCGGGCGACAGCTTCTTCCCTGTGAGTTTGGATTGCCGCGTTGTTACCATGACTATATGTACCGGGGCTACTCACCGGGATTGTCTGAAATGAATGACCGTGTGGCTAACTCGCTCCTAGAGAAGACATTGCCCTCAACCTGGAAATATCAGATATGGTTCGATCAAAGAGCGTTCAGCCCAAGGATGGAATGAGGTCTTTGAAACGACGACTCGAGAATAGGAATCCCAACATTCAACTGGCGACACTAAAGGTGAAACATCGCTCCCCGTTGATGATAGGCTTGGAACAAGCGCTGATAAGCCCACCCCTCTAGTTAACGGATACGTGTGTCAAAAACGGAGGCACCCATTTCCTGGCCGAGATCGCGTCTCGGGAATTCATGGATAACCTTGTCTCATTGCTGAAATCCGAAGGCGCCCCCTTAATGCCGAGGTCCAGGGGAAAATATTGGAACTTATTCAGAACTGGGCTATGGCTGCACAGGGCCGTATGGATTTGGTGTATTTGGGAGAGACATATCGCAAATTGCAGAGTGAAGGATACCGATTTCCACCAAAGACAGAAATGAGCGGCAGTATGCTGGAAAGTAGCGCAGTGAGTGTGCCTCAAAACCTTCCTTCTGAAGCAGAAGCTAATTTGTGAATCTGTCTCAGCCTCCAGAGTGGATCGACTCTGAAGTCTGCATGCGATGCCGGACTGCCTTCAGTTTTATGAATCGCAAACATCACTGCCGTAACTGTGGCAACGTTTTCGACGCTCAGTGTTCAAGCAAGACCATTCCTTTACCGCATCTGGGAATTCTGCAGCCTGTCAGAGTAGATGATGGATGTCATGCCAAATTGACCTCCAAGTCATTTGCGCCACCGGGAATTTCGGATCGATTCGCGTTCAAAAACAACTCCATCAGCAAATCTAACACAATGGAACCTCGCGCTGGTAAAGCGGATACAGGATTCGATGAGGATTTGCGTCGAGCATTGCAAATGAGTCTCGATGAAGCCGAGGGCAGAGGTCCTTCGGGGTTTGTACCGCAGACAGGCAACGCTCCAGAACCCGCTAAGCCTGCCCCAGGGCCGGAGAATGGAGATGAGGAAGATGCGGATCTCAAGGCTGCGATTGAAGCATCTCTGCGTGATATGGAACAGCACAAGCAAAACCATGCAGCCGCATTGAAGAACGTGCCCACTCAAAATTCTATCTTGCGCGATTCCTCTAGCACGCCCACTCCATTGCCTAAAAACCCATACGAACTAACCCCCGTTGAAACCGAGAATATTCATCTCTTCTCTACACTGGTTGATCGGCTCCAGCATCAGCCGCCGGGCACAATTCTTAGAGAGCCTCAGATCCAGGAGCTATATGAGAGTATCGGTGCGCTTCGACCAAAGCTGGCTCGAAGCTATGGAGAGACCATGAGTAAACATGGTGAGTACAGCTGTCTTACCATCTTTATGTATAGAACCGCAAGCTCATCGTCACAGATACATTATTGGATCTCCATTCCAAGCTCTCTACGGTTGTACGTTATTACGATCGGATGCTGGAAGAGCGTCTGACCATTGCCTATTCCCAACACACCCTTGGCCATGGAGCTGTCCCTGGTGGAGCGCAGTATCCAAATCTTCAGCCAGCGTTCGCTACTCACGCTCCCGACGTCCAGAGTGGAGCCGAGAATTTCTATTACGGAACTCAAATGGACAGCTCCCGCCCGCCTACTACCATGTATGCACCACAGCAGGTGAACGGCGATGGGTTCCAAGGTCCACCCACCTACCCATCACAAACTCAACACGGAGCCCCCACAAATGAGTCTTACGGTCAACCTTGGGGTGGGAACACCTACCCGACCCTTGGATCACCTTCACCTAGCAACGGCATTCCAAATAACTATACCAATGCTCCGGCACCAAGTGCCCCTGCTCAATATTACGCAGGACCACACGACCAAGACTCGGCCAAGTCACCTAGCGCAGAACCCCCATACCAGCCGTCGCCCATTATGCGCCGGGACTCTCAGTATCAGGCCAGTGCGCCTCCCAGCGGCCCTACCCCCGTGTCCGAGCAACACACATCTGCCGGGTATGTGCAATCGCCGGGCTATTCTGTGACGCCTACTGTGCCAGCACTTCATCAGCAGGCAACGGGCCCTTCTCAGTCTTACTATTACCCGTCACAGTCTCAGCCTCAACAGCCTCCTAATGCCGTGCCACCTGCCTACCCTTCAATCAACGCTGGACAACCAGGGTCATATGCACAGGAGACTCAGCAACCGCCTTATCAGCAACCAGCACGGCCAGTGGAGGAAAACCTGATTGAGCTATAGCGTAATTACATTTCTTTCGGCGTTATCTATGGTTTTATCTTTTTTGTTTTTTTTTTTCGCCCGATGATACCTGAAGACCTTTAGCAGATTGAATGTGTAGCTTGAAGTGGGTGAATGAAGAGCTCAAGGATACACGAAAGAACACTGCCTATGATGCTAATAGCTATCTCCAGTATCCTCCAGGGCTCTTTAGGTGTATTCTCAAGGGTGCTTCTTTTTAAATTATTCAAGTTATTAGTTATGTAGCGGGGAGAGGATTGTTCTATTTATATACCATTTTTGGCACAGAAGCGCTGTGTCTGCCTTAGGCATTCCACAATATTGTTACCCGCTCCTTTAATCGCCGAAGACAGCGAGATCACCCTCTCTCTTCTTCATTTCTCTAATTCGCCCCCGGATTTCTCTCCTGTTCTTCTTCTTCTCGCATTCCGTTTGATTTTTCATTCATTATTAGTGGTGGTTCAAACCGGTGTAACCCGGCTTCTAATTATTGAGTCTTCATTGCTTTTTGCCTGCATGTTCTCTAATCTGCCGTGAGACCTCTACCAACTTGCCTCGGCCAATCCCCACATTCTATGCTCCGTGAGCACAGCTGATTACCCGCCTGTGGCTCCTCTGGGAGCTTTTCGCTTACCGCCATGCCTACCTCTAACGCCTCAAATACCTCTTCCCCTGTTAAGCGCCCCGGTCTCGGTCGCCGTGCGGTGTCCTCCCATGCAGTTGTCACGCGGAGCGCCAATCCTAATGACCTGTCGCTGTCTCACACGCAGAAGGCACTTCTACATCATAAACCTCACCGCGCCCATGTCGTTGGTGCCCGCAATCACCACCGCAACCCCTCTACCAGCAAAAACTTTAACAAACTCCAACGATTCCAACTAGCTCCCGAGACTGCTGGGCGGCATCATCAGCGCAAGAAGTCAGCCCCCGCAACTCCAGTGGCGAGTCCAAAGGAAAGTGGGCACGTTCGCTGGGATAACGTTGTGGATGATCGTACAACTGCTCCTTCCATGAAGAGAAACTATTCTACTCCTGTGTTGCGCCGGAATCCATCAGCCGTTGGGAAGAAAGCGTTGGTGACTGAGCGGCCGCCCCCCAACACGGTAAAGAAAAAGACGGTCGGCTTTGAGCTGGGGGATGACGAGACCGACGACGCTGAGTGGGAAGATACCACGCAGTCACCCGAAAGTACGAGGCGCAACTCGGTGGCACCATCCAATCCCAGCGCAGACAATAGCACCGTTCTTGTCGATCACCTTACCTTTGTCAAGCGACCATATCCCCAAATGCCTCGAGCGACCAGTCTCCCCGAGTCGATCACCACCAAGTTCGTCCGAGAGCGTACTGAACTGGATGAGGAGGATGAGGATGAGGAAGCTGAGCAGCAGGACTCGGAAGAAGAGGCCGATGAGTCTAGTCAGCACACTGAACAGGGCGACATAGCAAACCGCCTCCTAAGTCCTACGCACTCATCCAAAGCGCCCCCTGCCATGTCCTCTATCTCGGCTATGGTGAAGCCAGAAGCCAAGAATCTCAATCCCGCATCGCGTAGTAGCGCATCTCTCAACCTGGCTGCTGGCCAGGACAATGCTCGGCGCACATTCTCTACAACCAGCATGGCCAGCATGCCGAGCTCTCACCCCCAAGCTACCTCATCTTCTATGGAAGGTGGAGTCTCGAGGTTCATTTTGAACAACAAGAATAGCACGCAGGCATCTTCTCGCACCGATTCAGACCCAAATACCCCATCGTCGTTCCTCCCGCACTACCACCCACAAACACCGCCCTCTCCGAACAGTGCAGCGGCCAAATTGATCGCATCTCCCGCGCGACCGCGTGGTGCTGACCTGCCTTCTCGCACACAGCAGAAGCTCTGGCTTCAACGTACTGCCACTCTCAATAATTCTCCTCCTGATAACCATGGAGTGACCGCAGCAGTTCCGCCGTCTGCCATTGACCCAACGTTTATTGCTGCTAGCCACAACACTTATGACGCCGGCAGGGGGCTCAACGGCGATGGTCGAGCTGGCGGTGCAGGACACGACATCGAAACTCGTCATATCCGCAAAGCGTATGAGAAGACATCCTTAGAACTGATGGTCGTGCGACGTTTCCAGTCCCCCACCGGCCAGAGCTTCGCTCGTCTTCGTCATATTGTCCGAGCCAACAAAGCGGAGCAAGGATCAGCTCTCGGCAAACCAGTCAAATCAGCACCTTCGCTGCCCCTTCTGCAGCAAGGGAAACAGCCCAGTCGCCTCGGCTCCAACCCTGCATCTAAATCCCAATCGCGTAATTCAAACCCCACCGCCTCCGAAGATCCAGCCACAGACAACGAACCTATCAATACCGCAAAGGCTGCCAAGTCTAACGATCTACCTCATCGTATCCTCTCCACTTCAGCTGAAGCTCCGCGTGACCTCAGTGGTGACCATGACGAAGGATTCCAGATTAACGACAGCGCCATGCTGATCCGCCGGATGTGGGAGAGCCGAGAGGTCGCCATCCACGGCTAATTTATGATTTTTCCACCCCTTTATGTTTATGACGGTTAGCTCTATGGTTTTTCGGCGTTCGCATTCTGATTTTTCATTACAGCGATCAGGTTGAACATAATTTATCTTTCTGTGTTTTTTTTGCTTTCTTGCACTACACTTTTACTCCATTATGTTGATATGAGTAGCCAATGCCACACATTTACATGGTAATCACAACCCACTATGCCCACTATTTCCAATACTTTGTCAATCTAAAACAAATCGGCTGCCTGGGAGTGGCCACCAGGGGCCATTCCTGCGCCGGCTGCTGTGGCATCCGGGGAAGGGCTGGATGGCCTGACCGGATGATTAATCGCCAATCCTGCCCTCCTGATTTGTCCTACAAAACCCTAACTATATGGCCTCATACATACAACAGGCTCCAGACTCGAGACTTCTTCATACTTTTGTTTCGTTTTGAATCTACAGTCAAGAAAATCATCATGGATACCGTCCCATTGGTAGCAGGTCAGATCCTGTGCATCGCATACTATACCTCCGGACTTGTTCTGGTGTCAATCGTCCTCAATGTGATCAAACAGCTCGTCTTCTACAACAGAAAAGAACCGCCCGTTGTCTTTTACTGGGTTCCTTTCATTGGAAGTACAGTCGCCTATGGCATGGATCCGTACCAGTTCTTCTTTGCTTCTCGTGCCAAGGTGTGTAGTCTTGAAGCTCTTAATACTTCCAAAGTAAAAGACGACGCCTACTAACGAATACACCTAGTACGGCGACATCTTCACCTTCATTCTGCTAGGCCAGAAAACAACCGTATACCTCGGTGTTGAAGGCAATGAATTCATTCTTAATGGAAAATTGAAGGACGTCAACGCCGAAGAAGTCTACGGCAAGCTTACAACGCCAGTCTTCGGATCTGATGTTGTCTACGACTGTCCCAACTCCAAACTTATGGAGCAAAAGAAGGTATAACTCCTTCTGATCACTTTTCACGCGTCTCATATCCAAAGCTAATACTCACCCCCCCTAAAACAGTTCATCAAATATGGCCTAAGCCAGGAAGCCCTAGAATCCTATGTCCCCCTAATCGCCGATGAAACAAGCGCCTACATAAAGTCCTCTCCCAACTTCAAAGGCCAATCCGGCACCATTGACCTCGCCGCCGCCATGGCCGAAATAACCGTCTTCACAGCAGCCAGCACCCTCCAAGGCGAAGAAGTGCGCTCCAAACTGACCTCCGAGTTCGCCGGGCTCTTCCACGATCTCGACCTCGGCTTCACCGCAATAAACTTCTGGCTCCCCTGGGCACCGCTGCCGAACAACCGCAAGCGCGATAAAGCGCACGCCCGCATGCGCGAGATCTATCTGGGAATTATCCAAGCGCGACGGGAAGCCGGCGAAGAAGACAACGTCAACGGCAGAGATAAAACCAAAGGCACAGATATGATCTCGAACCTAATGCGCTGCGTGTACCGGGACGGGACTCCAATCCCAGACAAGGAGATCGCGCATATGATGATTACGCTGCTGATGGCGGGTCAACACTCGTCGTCCGCAATTAGCTGCTGGATCCTTCTCCGACTGGCCTCGCAGCCCGAGATGACGGAGAAGCTGTATGCGGAACAGATCCAGAACTTGGGCGCTGATCTCCCGCCGCTGCAGTACAAGGATATGGATAAACTTCCGCTGCTCCACAACGTGATCAAAGAGACGCTGCGTATCCACTCGTCTCTTCATACGCTTATGCGGAAAGTGAAGAATCCGATGCCGGTGCCCGGGACTAAGTTTGTTGTTCCGCCGTCGCACACGCTGCTCTCTTCGCCTGGTGTTACGGCGCGGGATGAGCGGCATTTCCGCGATCCGTTGCGGTGGAACCCGCATCGCTGGGAGAGTCGGGTTGAGGTTGAGGATGCTTCTGATACGGTGGATTATGGGTATGGGACTGTCTCTAAGGGAACGCGCAGTCCGTACTTGCCGTTCGGAGCCGGTAGACATCGTTGTATTGGTGAGAAGTTTGCGTATCTTAATTTGGAGGTTATTGTTGCCACTCTTGTGAGGGAGTTCAGGTTTTTCAATCCCGAGGGCAGGGAGGGGGTGCCGGACACAGATTATTCAGTAAGTCTTTGGTGTTTCTTTTGGCTTGGGTTGATGAGGATATGTGGCTGACTTCTTTCTAGTCTCTCTTTTCACGTCCTATGCAGCCGGCGACTGTGCGATGGGAAGTCCGTAACTAGGGCTGGAAACTGGATATCGTTAGTCTTAGTCTCGGCAAATCAACTTCTGATTATGAAAAAGGGGTCCAAAGGTTCGCATTTTGAAGAGAGATGATCATAAGTTCGCCAGAAGTAATGTATCAATAATAGGCAGTCTATCATTCTATACCGGTATTTTAAAAGTGACCAGTACTTCAATCAAACGCCATATTTCCCCAAACATTCTAAATTGATAAACAAGAATACCGAAAATGGTGGATAGGTGAAATGGAGGGGTATGGGTAGATAGTAGGAGATCCGTAGTTCAAGCAGTCATATCTCGGGGGAAATTGAATGGAAATCGAATATGTACAATAGGAAATATCCCGAGACCTGAAGATAATAACCGCAGAAGAAAAGCCAATGAGAGAATGAATGCCTTCTTCTCATGTTGTTACGTCGTTCTTGCCCCTACCGCGTTGATTACCGCCTCCGCGACTACCATTGGCATTCCCAGCAACACCTCCAGCACGAGTTTTGTTCGGGGCTTTTTGAGATTGGGCTGGGGCCTGGCCACTCTGATTCGCTTTGGGAGTTGGATGCCCAGAGATTGGAGCCGATACGCGTCTGTGATTTTGGGGAGCAGGTCCATCACCTGTATTTTTGTTGCCTCGACGCTTACGCGGGCCACCGGCAGCCCCAGGCGCCTTGCCGCCTCGTCCGCCCTTTCCAGAGCGAGGTTCATTTGGCTCTGGCTCTACCAGTCCTTGCACACGCTTGCTTTCTTGATCCCACCACTGCTGGAACTCCTGCTCGGCCTGGATCTCTTGCATTTTATGCTTGGCTGTGGCTGCTTCACGGATCGCTTCCTTTTCGGTCTGTTGCTGGAGCAAAATGGTCGATAGAGAGTACGAGCCAGAGGATGGAGAACGTGATCCTGTTAGATCAGGGCGTGGGATGTGACGAATAGACTGGATGGCTGGCCGTGGTGATGTTGATTGATTGTTATGGGTTGCTGTTGAAGGTCCTGGTGTGGAAGGTTTCAAATGAGGAGAGGGCCGTGGGTTGCCCGACACACTGCGGCGTTGTGTTTGCACAGGCGTAGCCACCGGCTTTGAATTTGGCGGCGGTGTGCCGGCCACAGTTTGCCGCATAGTCATGGACCTTTGAGGTGATTTAACAGCCTCAGAAGCCGGGGCGCTTTGACCTGGCAGAGGATCGAGTTGAGGGAGCGACGCTGGAGAAGAAGTTGCTGGCTTCTGCCATGGATTCTGCGGTGCATCCTTCGTCTTCTGTTGGGCAGCCAACTGCTCTTGTATCTGTTGTTGCTGAAGCTTCTTTCGCTCCTTTTGGGAGATCTTGGGTACAAAGCTACCGCTGCTTTCGCGCCGATCTGCCATGCCCAGCGTGAGGTTTGATACCCGAGACTGTAATGCTTCTCCCATGATGTCTTTGATATCTTTCTTGGAACTCGAAATCATTGGCGAGGTCCATGGTGCAGAGGAGGGATTAGATGATGATGCCACGGCTTGTTTTTGGTTTTGAATAATTGCCCTGGACCCAGATGGGGACTGTGCTAGTAGCGGGTCTTGCGGGGAAGACATCTGATCCTTCAAGAAACTAAGATCGCCCAAGGACTCGGGATCTGGGACGCTTGCCCCCAAATCTGGGGAGTCAGGGTATGATCGATCTTCAGGTATGCCTTCTGTGAACTTGAGTCCACGCATGGCGCTCTTGCCTTTCGAGGCACTTGGCGATATGAGGGCCTCGTCGTCCATTTGAAACATGAGATCCCCAACCGACTGTCTCGGCTTCAGCATTGGGCTAGTACCAACATTTGGTGACCCTCCGGGTACACTGGTCTTCGCTTTGCGCACAGACGGAGATGAAATGACTTTCTCGTTAGGCGCTGACCGAGCTCGTGCATCATAAGGCTCGAGACGACCAAGGCGGGACTGCAAAGCCATGGCATCGATCCTTCGTTGCTTATCTGCTTCCACGGAGCTAACGATTTCGGGGTATTTCTCGAAAGCATACTCCTCAGAATTGCGCCCACGGGATATGGGCCAGCATGCTAGCTGATTCTCGCGGCAGATCAGATCCAACTCCCAAAGGAGAGTAGTATCCAAATCTTCGAGATATCTATTAGCGAGCATGGCCTCGAGGTTGAGACATATATATTCCAGGGCGGCATCCTTGAACTCTGTGACACAGCAAGGAGCAATGGAATTGAGCAAATAGCACACGTTGCGCGTTGTGACAAAACGACCAAGCATCTTCTGACACACTTGAGATAGTCGGTCGATCATCAGCTCATTTGCCACGAACATTACATCCAGAAGCAAGTCAATGAAGTCATCAAGATCTTTGGTCCGGACTTCATCAAACAGCCGTTCTTCTGTATCGGCATATAGGTAACGCAGGACAAATTCAAATGTCGAGCGATCAATGTGCTTTAGGTCGACATGCACGCTCTGGTTTGGATCCGCTTTGCGTGAGTCTAGCCACCTTCCACCTGCATAACCATGGAAAAGAGTGTCAAAGAACGGGCATCTCTGGCACACGACGTGGCTGTGCACTTTCATTGTATCGCCTTTGAGCTGGATAGTCACGTCTGCGCTGTCAAATAAGAATGAGTGGTTGATGGCATGAGCCAAATCTGTTTTCAGGCTTTTTTGCGGCTCGACCATTAGTCGTGCTGCCCGCTCCAGCGCTGGCAGGCCTAAATGCATAGAAACCTGCATAACTTCAGTGCGAACCTGCCGGAAACGGGCCGAGTTTGCGGGCGAGCTCCTTGCTAGGCGCCAGACATCGAGAATGCCGTCTGTGTAAAGGAAAAAGACCACGTTCATAACGGTCAAGAAATCAACACCTTGGAGGCAGATCTGGGGACGTCCATCCTTCCCGTATTCAATATCAAAAACGCCTGGGACGGATGAATAATATGACTGCCGGAACTCGGTCAATGCCTTTCCCAAAATAGGACTACGGCCAGCTATAAGAAACTCATGAACAGGAATGCAAGCGTCAGATAGGGAGCTGGTCACCCAAACAGTGCCCTCGGTCCATATGGAAAGAAATTGGCTTTCAATATCCGAGGATGAAAGTATGGCTCTTTGGATACTTTTTCCGGATGAAAGTACAAGCGGGTGGATATTCTGAGCGTCATCTTCGAGGATTGAGTCCAACTCTTCCAGCCCTGGGATTAAAAATGGGGACAACGGCAACATATCATCCCCAAGGCTGCTTTGCTCGATATGAATTTGTTCTCTGGTCACTTCGCAGTCACGTTGAGCGACAGCGTAGGCCCCGAAGGCATTGCTGCGCACTGCCACTGCCCGTGAGAGACCAGGTATGCGGGCAAATTTGTAGTCTTTCGAGGCTCCCTCCTTGTTCTTTGTCCGCCGCTCTTTTCTCCACGCGGATCCAGATGTTGTACAGATGATAATTGAACCGTCTTGCCCAACATCAACATCGCTGGCTGCCATGTATGATTTCTTAACGGACCATGCTCGAACAGGGGTGGCTAACGAATTCCGAATCTTTGTAGGATTGGTTGTGGACGTTAAAGCCGAAGAATTATCGGACTGGTTGACCTGAACAGTGAATACATCACCGGAGCTGGATAATGCACATATGGTGTTGCCTCCACATACAATCTTGACAACACGATTCGCAGTCTTGTCGTATCTGGTTACCATGAAGCTATCCCTGATAAATCTGGAGCTCACCTCCAGTGGGAATGAGAGTTTTGAATAGCCATATGACGAGAAAACCCAGACTTCGTGGTTCTGCAGAAGCACAGACGTAGCACGGTCAATGGCGGACACCATCTTGATTGGACAACTGAAAAGGGATGCTCCAACACGCCGTGGTGTCGTTTGTACCTCAAGCGAACGCGCATCGGAATCGACCAAGCCAAGCTGACCATCGTTCTTGCCAAAGGTATAGAGACCTGAGGTACTGAAGACCACCGAGTGGATAGACGATGCTGCAGCACCTATGATCGTTTCTTTCTTGAACGGGTTGAAGATCTGGCGAGGAGTCGTCTGAATGGGAATGTCGTTTTTGTTGCTAGTCCTGGGCAGGCCATAGCCAAGCTGTCCGAACTTGTTGCTTCCCCAGCTGAAAATCTCACCCTGCTCGGTAATTGCCAGGCTATGATCTTGACCCAGAGCAGCCGATACAACTTTCTTCCCCTCCAGCCCACCCGCTTCAATACAAACAAAGGTAAAACTAGTCGACTCATCTCCTGTTCCTAGGCGCCCTCCAGGTCCAAATCCACACATGAACAGATTAGCCTCGGGGTCACCTGTGATTATGGCGGTATGCATTTTGGACATGATAATGTCTTGGAACTTCATTGGCTTGTTTGTGATCAACGTGGGCAGCTCGGTCGATTTGCTCTTGGGCACGCTATCCTCGAGCCCTAGGTGTTCCAATTTCTCTTGGTATTCACGATAAAATCGATGTAAAAGATGCTGGGGGCGCTTCAATGAGATGCGCTCAGGAAATTGTCTGTCATCCTGGTCCCCTAGACCAAGGTTCAGATTTTTGTTGCTTCCCAGTGTGAAAACTTCGTCAGCGGAAATATCCACGGCCCCTTTCAGGACACTCCTAAGAGCGTACGCCCCATCTTCCCCATCATCTCCAAAATTTGAGGCGGCATTGGAAGCAGCATCGCTGCCCAGAGCATCATCATCAAGATCTAAGTTCGGCCACTTTTCAGAGAGATGCTTAATCTCGCGGGATCTAATAGTCGCCCCGAAGACGTCGAAGGGACTGCAACCCTCACGGTCCTTGATCTTGATCAGACCACCACTCGGATGGCTCGTATTTCCACCTTTACTGAAATCTGTCATATCCTGCAGGTCGCGCGCCATGAGCGCCAGAGCAATTGTGGCGTTCCCGGCGTAAAGAGCCCGATGCAGAGCCGTCCATCCACTCTCCCAATCCTGCGCATATATATCGACAAACGGAACTTCCAGCAAAGCGCGTGCGAACTTGTAGGCGGTAAGTTTCGAGGACGATGCGACATGATGCAGCAGCGTACGGCCGTAATGATCGCGGGCATTAACATCAGCGCGCGACAAGTTCACGCTCCCGCGTGGGAAGGCCGCTCGGTCAGGCAGGAAGGCCCCAGGTGATGATTCGAGATTCTTCTTACTTCTCGGCGGATTTGGAGACGAGGCAATCATGGACCCGGGGCTTCCAGCCTTCGATGACAGGTTTGTCGCAGCTTTGGAGGTCCCTCCGGAGCCCCCTGCAGCTCGCGGCCCCGCGAACGTCGCGTTCGCCAGACACCGCTGGAACTGCTCGACATCATCTTGAATGAAACACTCCCAAAGCTTGTTACTCATGTGCCCGGAGTGGTCGACGCGCCGAATCTCTTATCAGGCCCAAGCTGAGCGTCGCCGTCACCACAGTGGGGTGGACCGCGACGGGGGAGCTGGATGATAAGAGAACTCTGGTTCAAGGGGAAAGGATAAGAGTTGCCGGCGCTATAGGTATAGGTCGACGCGATCTCGGTGGTATCACAAAATTTCTGATCGTAGATTTGACGCGAAATCGATTGTGGGCTCGGCGTATGCGCGTGTGGCGAAAGTGCTTATCTGGCGGGCAACTCGAAAATTTTGAGGAAGCGGAATGAGGGATGGTCGACGGGGTTGGAAGATGTTTAATGTCTCGAAATTCCCAGTTGGAAAGAGCAGGATGTCCTGGGTCGCACTTGCCAGAAATCTGGCCGGTTTGCCCTCGATGTCATCCGTGGATCGTGGAGCCGCCACACAGTAGATGACAGCGACACTCGGGTCAAAAACGCACGTACACAGTAGTTAGTACACATATATCGGAGACTCCGGGTCATCTCGGACTTTTCGAACTGTTATAAATGGGTCAAAGCATGCCTCTAAAATGTACAGAGTAGTATCAAGATATTCAAGGGTACATGAAGCTCACAATCAAGTGTGCATAATACAGAACTAGTTATCAAAAACCGTTATTTGATCAAGTCGAGAGAATGACTTCAATAATATAGAGATTTAGAACCCCATTGACTGAAAAAACCCTTCCACGGCTTGTAATATGTTTTAGCTTCTCAAGTACAATTTATCTTTCTAGGAAACTCCCAATTAGTTGGGGGGAAAAAAGCCAATAAAGTCATCCATACTATAGGAGTTTGTATTATGTGCCTGCATGGACGTTATCTTCTTCTGTGCATAAACTCTGACCAATAACGACGCGCACGTCCCTCCATGCCCCCGGACGAGAGGCGAGGATCATCCAGGGCAGAGCCCGTGGGGAACTGATAGGATGATGCACCCTTATATATGCACTACCTTAAGTATGTTGTATGTATGCCATTTCATTTCATTTTGGTTTTCTTAGGTAGAAATTGCTTGGTGTAATGCACCGTCCGTACCACACAGACCAGATCTACATCATAACCTTTGGACCAGTTTCCAGATCCTGAATCCCTTTCTTCAACTGTGCGCGTCGCCGGCTCAGCGCCGCATTCTCCCCCGCAATCTCCGTCAACTGATCTTCTGCTAGGTTCGCAACAAACTGGGGCGAGAAGAGTCCAAGCGGCTTGCGTGGTCCAGTGAGCAGACAGTAGCCGGTGGCTTGCATGCAGATGTTGTCGACGAACCGCTTAGATGCCACCTCGTAGTAGGCTGCCAGAATTTCATGGATGTAGCGAACAGTCCGTTCAGTGTTACTCATTGGAGTTTTTGCCTCGTCTTCTGTAGGCTCATACTTCTCCCGGTGGCTGGTAGAAGGATGTCAGTATATCTATCTCATAGATCGAATGGATTAATCGAACACACCTTCTCCTTTGAGTTTCCTCAAGTTTTTCATGAAATTTGTCATTCAAAGTCATTATGTTCATGCGTTCGACATCAAGAACCAGTTGGGCCTGTTCCATTGCTTCTCTGTATCTCTTGGGCAGCTCATCGGTGAGGACACTCAACAACTTGTCGCGAATCTGCTCATCCGGGCAGATGACTTCAAGGACTTTGAGCATAAAGGTATGCATGATATCAATCACATCGCTGACATATCCGAGCGCGAAGTCGGTCCATTTTCCAGATTGCCTGTTCATGATGGTGCACAATAGAGAGGTCTGAAACGTCCCCACCTCGAATCCGCGGGAAGCACGATACAGGTCCTCGATCCATACCAGAATGCTGTCATCTGTCGGCCTTGTCACAATCTCTTGTTCGTGGAGAATGCCATCAATAGCGCCACTATGCTCTGACACATCCATGTGCTTGCGAACAGGGATTCCACCATCATCTTCCTGATCCTCCTCGCCTTCCATCGGTTGCATTGGGGCGGGTAATGTGTCGGAAATTTCACTGATAAATTAGTATTCAAACCCATATTCTTCCATGTCGGACTTGAAAACATCCATGCGGTTTCGGACTATTGTTGCCAGTCGGGAATGTTTTTCTTTGTCAAATAATTCATGTGTGCCATATGAAGTTGCCATGGCTTGCGAGACAATATCTTGAAACCTCGTTATGACATCAAGCAGAAAGCTTCTCTGCTGCTCCGGGGTACTTCGCTCATTTCCAAGAGCAGACAAATCATGCCTCATGGCCTTCAGCTTTCGACCAACATCGGTACGCATCTACATATATAGTCAGACCAATCTGCAAACAAAACGCGAGATGATTTGACACACCTTAGGAAACTCTCGACGGATTTGGGTTGTTTACACATCTTGTAGGCGAATCTTGAGGGCACCAATGCCAGCTTTGTCCATTGGAAGGTTGTTCCATGGGTGGTGTTCCCGAAAGAACTTGACCTCGACTAAGTCTCGGTCAGAGCTCTGGTCAAGTAGCTGCTGCTGGCCCGTATTGGGCACAACAATCCAGCCAAGCGCCAAGGAATGGGATTTGCCCTCAACCAAGTCGATGATCTTGTCCTCAGCATCCTTGTCTACTAAATCAGGTTTGGTAAATACTCCCAGTGTGCGAGTTCCCTCGGGATCCCACTCGCGCGCCATCTCGAGAATCTCTTGTGTAGCAATATCCACATTTGCTGGGACCACGGTCAGCATGATGGAACGAGGGTTACACATGTAGCCCAGAACCATATCCTTCACCATCTCCATATCCTGCTTGGTAGTGAGACCAGCCGTAGTGTTCTTGAAAATACCCGGGACATCAATGATACTCAAATTATCTTCTTCGGGTCCACAAATCTCCAACCGGAACACGTCTTGAGTGAAGGTGGGCCCTGAAAGGGTCGGGTTCAGAGCCCGATAAACCCATGTTCTGGTGAACCTATAGTAACCACTCATTATAAAAGGTTCAGTTATGATTTACTCAAGTAGCAAAATTACTTCACGCATTGTTTCAGCGAAGGATTCGGAGTCGAGTGATTCTATATTGGCTCCTCTCCATGCTGCCAAACGAGAAGCGTGCTCTGGGTCTTTATCGGGTGCTGAAACGATAGAGGCACTGATAGTCCTCTTTGTGTCTGCCCTGATCCGCCGGAAGATTATTTGAGTAGCAAACCGAGTGCACAGCCCACTGTCTCTGGGGAACCGTAATTTGGTAAGACCCTCCAGTACAGAGCTTTTTCCACTGGACTGGTCCCCACAACAACAAGCTGGGGCAAGTTGACGTATTCACCGAGGTTGTGAGCTAGGAGCCGGTCTATCTTGTCCAGCAGCACTGGGTCACCGAGCCCTTGGCCGGGAAACTTTGGGGTAGACATAACGGGCATGATGGTTGTGGGTAAAGATAGGTGAGTGTTAGAAGGTTGGGTCTAGATCATCTTCTGAGTGGATAACAAAGAGAGTGGGGGGGAAAGAATGAGAAAGAGATGGGATGGGGCAAGGAGAAAATATCCATTCCTATATATCTTTCAGAGTTAGACTAGGGCTAGATTCCAGAAAGTTCCAATGATCTCAATTTATTTATCGGCCATTTGAACTGCCAATTTCAATTCAGTCTCATCCTTCTTGTTCCTTAAATCTGCGGCGGCACTGGATTGGGAATCGTCTCTTAGCAAATTGCTATATCCAAAGGATCATCACCGTACATACCCTTCAATATTGTCTCTGTGCTCTTTCTAACATGTAGGATCATGTAGGTCTTTGTTAGATGTCACTCCACAAATGTTTTTCACAAGCCCCTACCTAGTATAGTATGTTGAATACTAAAGGTTGCATACATGGTGGGAACAGGTATTAATACCCAGAAAATCATGTGACCAATGGTACCATCCATACCATACAAAAGTGCATATTACAGTTAGTCATCTATGTCCCCACAGATTGTTGAAAACGCGGGTTTTGTCATTTTAGGTAGTTAGAGATTCCAATATATCTGATTTTGTCCATACGTTGTCATACAGCCAGATTTCTGTCATAGTACATTGATGACAGGGGTCTCAGATATAAGGTTTGCGGGCCGAACACATGTTCTCCACACTCAATCTTTCCTACCTGCATTTTCCTTCAAACATTCCTCCTTTCATCCAGAATCAGTCCTGTCCGCCATCGCCAATTCTCATTGAGGTTAACTATTTTCACGCGCGCCCTGAATTGAGTGCCAGAAGCAAAATATGTGTCCGTATGATACTAGGACGCTCAGGCTCGCAGAATTTGAATGTCTCCCCTATTCACCAAATGGTCATCTACATCACCAGGGTGAGCTGCTAAAAAGCCATTTGATGACAAAATCCCATAGAAGCGACTATCTAGCTGTTCAACTACCCATCTACTAGTGTAACACATCACCATGGGCATCCGTACACATCTGCCTATGGAAACTCTATCTGGGTCTCTTATATATATTTCTTGTCTCTGTCAGCTGTTTCATTAATTCAAACCTTTGACCTCTCGATATATTGAGTATCTTGATTAAAATAAACAAATGCAAAGCTTTTCACATCTTCCATCTTGCTAAACTCCCCATTACCAACAAACAGAACGAACAATGATTTACTGTAACAACAATCCGCATAATGTTTACTTTAATCTGAATACTCTGATTTTTGCCACTCAGAAGGGATCACATCCGACATGTTTTTGAATCCGCTCGTGGTGCGGTTGTCAAAAACCATTTTCTGGTCGATAGTAACCCTATTTTCACGAATTTACACAAGCCACCATGATGCGAGAGCCGCAGCCTGATCCCGAACTGTAGGCAGATTTTGCCTAGGTGTATTCCACTTGACTGGCAAGGAGATACAGTGGTCCCCCAGCCCATGCAGTGGCTGATGGGTCATGGCAGTTTGGCCAGCTTTGCACTTTCGAATCACAAATAACATGATCGGGTCGTCACTATGGGTGCCACTCCTCGCATCCGGTACGAGTATAACACTGACCCAGCAATAACCCTTACCATCGTCACGAGGATCCGGAATATGGTGCTTGCGGGTTACGAAGGGACTTGCCTGCACATGCATTTCGCCAGTTAGTGGAGTGGATATGGTTGAGGACTGACCTTTGGTGGGAGAAGACTTTTTTCTGCTATGCATATAGCCTGTTGTTTTTCAAGAGAAAATGTTCTATCAATAACGCCCAGTTATGATAATCTGAAAGGGAAGTGGGGTTTGTATGTAGTAAAATCCGAGATGCGATGTGTTTGGAACAAAAAGAAAACCCTCAAAGAGCTTTCGCCACTGCAATGACTTCTCTACTCACAACGAGACCCATTATATCTATGATTAGTTTTACCACATGGTAAATCAGCTGCTTAAAATGGTTACTATCAGACACGGCGAGATTCTACAGCTTACATAGGATAAGTTTCTTATCGTAATGATCCCGGACGATCTTTCTCAACACCCACATCACTTAAGCATAAGAATGTTAAATACTCAGGCCGTTACAACAATAAGGGTGTGACGACCTAACAGGGAAGATTTGTTCCGGAGACGGCATATGTATGTTGTTAGCGCTTTGGTTGTGATGAAACAGCTTGGACACCCAAAACACCAATCATGTCCAGCCTATAGGCACCCATGGATGTACATATGTAGACTGATGACCTCTGGAAGATGCATGCTAATTTTTGTAAGTCTGCATTACGTGGATGATATCCCTTAGTGAGGTTAAACAAAAAAAAGGATGAGGTTGACTGGATGAACGGATAACCTTGAGAACTGGAGTCGCACGGCGACACAGCCCCAGGTTGGTGTCTTCTAATATTCCCGCCAAGCATATGAAGGAAGAGCTGGGATTTACTTCACTCATTCATAACTTGATGGCTGATCATACACCACCTAGCATATACTTTCCGAATAAACAACAAATAAATCTCGAAGTGGCTCCGGTGGGGAAGCAAGTCAGCCAGCCCTGCCCCGGTGGAGAATAATGGATTCTTAGCCGCCCGCGAGGTCCGACCTCGGGAGGTCACTTAGCATTGGTGATTAGGCAGTAAGTGTCTACGCTAACGCGATTAGGGTCAGATATCACAACCTCATTTAAAGTCGTAAGTACCTCGCACGAAGGTGGAACGTCTCTCGGACTACCTCGGCTGCAGGATTCATAGCATGGATTTGACAACCAGTGAAGACGTAAATTGACCTCTTTGTTAGACTAATATTGGTGCAAGAGCACCCGTCTGTCCCTAAATTGCAGCACGAGGCATCTATTTATGTTGTAGAGATGTTATAATAGCTCCCTATGGTTTAGTTCCGTTGGTTCGTTTGTGTTGTGGAACATCGCTAGTTTCTATCTGTCCACTCTACACGAGCCTCTTTAAATAAATTCGATGTCATTCAGAATGCATAGGGCGCTGACTGTAATCCCGAGAGATTTCCGGCTTGATCAGTAAATTTGAGGAAACTTGACTGATCTCCCCGAAAGGACATTATTGGTGAGTACGGAGTATACATTCTTAGCCCCTGAAGAGAGTTTTCAGGTACAATATAGGTGACCCACTCTACTCCATATACTATGTAAAAAGTCAGCTTCAGTTTCTCCACTGTACAGAGTACGGGTTCTCGCCCTAAAACCGATCTGGCAAAGTTAGACGAAGTCCTGAATCCTGGTGAGATCACAAATTTGTTCGGAGTAAACCCACAAAAGAATTTAGACAGCGCGGTAGCCTAACATCTGCAGCAGTTTAGAAGACCTGCTCGGGATGATCAATTGTGGGGCTGAACTGGCGCATCGCGCATCCCGGGGCCATACATTATTCTAGAATCTGGTGTATAAACCATGCTGGAAAATATTGACCGAGGGGATAAATCATAAGAAAGAATAGAAGCTATACCAAATCAAGAACGATATGCCTCTGAAAGATCAAGAATAAAAGAGGCTGTCCACCGTTATTAGCGTAGATACCACTCATGGACTCCATCTACATTCGGGTATAACCTATGGGATGTCCACGGGTATATTGTAAACTAGATCCTTCGACCATGAACAATATATACTCCCTATCTCTTCTTCTTCCAATCGGTCTTATAACCTATTCCACATCTCACTTCTGATTAGGCTTCACCCTTACCAAAAAGGGGAAGTGTGTCATCTTCCTCCCAATATCCATGGATCCTTCTTAACATGAAGGAAGCCGAAGAATGCAACCCAAGGCCTTTCATGTGAAGTACCAATATAAAGCTAGCGACGACATGCAAGAGCTTACTTCTTGCAATATATCCTCCGCATAATGAGGGGTAACGCTAAGACGATGTCGGGTTAGAGCACTCAGGCGCAACCAGTTGGGTATGTACGGAGTACGGATGCGGAATATGGACCTCGGGAGACAAACGTGCTTATTCCTGCGTATCCACAACGTATTGCAGAAGGGGGTCTCTCCGATAAAATGTCTCAAATAATCAGCGGATATTGCATCCATAGTGCCCTACCATGCATCCAGAATCCCAGTCAGGAACGAAAAAAGAAACTTTTGTGCGGGGTTGGCGCCGATCATCCACAAGTTAGAAAAAAAAAATTCGTTAGGCCCCAACTTTCATCCAGACGTTGAAGATCAAAAAAAGGTAAAGACGAGAGTCTATCTGATGATTTTATTCGCAGATCTGCTACTTCATCCATGGATATGTTCATGCTTCTGTGCACAAAAGATATAAAACTAATATATCAACAGGGGGATCTGCATGGCATCAGACAGATCATGTAGGTACATATTGCCCCGAATGTCTTACCCACTGCGATGCCCCATAATCAGGGGCCAGGTAATGATCGCCGCCCTATTCATCAGCCTCGGTAATGGATATCAATCACATTCATTCTGAGGAAGAGAGGTATGTATGTACCATGTTTGGATCGCCCCATGTATATAATATGAAGAAGGCCCCCCTTTTCCTCATGCAGCATCACAGCCTCGACTATCCTATTTAGAGCAGGAAAATGGCATTGTCCCTTGCGCACATGGTGCGCCTTGCCATGGTTGGCCTGATGGCATTCACTTCAATTGCCTCAGCGATGCCTGCGCCTCAAGTCCCTCGCAGCACGGTTCAGGCTCCCGACAATGATCCGTTCTATCAGCCTCCTGCTGGCTTCGCATCCAAGGCGCCTGGGACAATCCTGAGCCAACGGGACATCACTGCTGCATTCTTCGGTCTCGTGCCGGTTGACGTGCATGCCTATCAGCTGCTTTACCGCACGACTGCAGTCAATGGCTCGGCCATTGCAACAGTTACCACCGTGTTCAAGCCGAAGAACGCTAAGCTCGATCGTTTCATTTCGTTCGCCACGGCCTACGATAGCTCTGCGACGAAATGCCAGCCTAGCTACGCCTACCAGCTCGGTGCGGCACAGGACAGTTTGATCGCTTCGGTCGAGCTATTGATCATTGAGATCTACCTTGCTCTTGGTTACACCGTCGCTTCTTCCGACTATGAGGGACCAGAGGCCGCCTTTGGACCTGGTCGCCTTGCAGGTATGGGTGTGTTGGATGGTATCCGTGCCGTGAATAATTTCAAGACCTTGGGTCTCACCGATAACCCCATGGTTGTCGGTATGGGCTATTCAGGCGGTTCCATTGCGACCGGCTGGGCAGCCTCTTTGCAGCCCACTTACGCGTCAGAGCTGAACATCAAGGGCTGGGTGCAGGGTGGAACTCCCGCGAACGTCACCGGCACAATGTATCAGCTTGACAACACAGCCTTCAGTGGCATACTCCCCCCAGCTATTGTTGGTCTCTCAAAGCCAAGCGCCTACGGTGCCGAGCTGGCCCCTTTCATCAGCAAGGTCATAACGGCAGAGGGTCAAAAGATCCTAGACAAGGCCGCCTCCGAATGCTTCACTGTGGATCTCGCGAACTTCTTCGAACGGTCAATGTTTGACACTAGCTTCCAAACTTTGGGCAAGGATTTCATCTTCCACCCGATCGCTCAGGCAGTGCTGAAACAGAACACCATGGGTGCCAACAAGAACGAGACCCCGACGGCGCCAGCCTTTATATACCACGCCACACAAGACGAAGTCATCCCTTACGCCGACGCTAAAACTATGGTTAATTCCTGGTGCAACTGGGATGCGGACGTCAAGTTTACTACTTTTGCCAGCGGTGGTCATGCGACCACTGAAATCATTGCCATTCCCAATGTCATCAATTTTGTCAAGAATGCCTTTGCTGGCACGACCAAGGGTGGCTGCACCGCGAATACTGAGCTTGGTAGCATTCTCAACCCGCTTGCTCTTGGCGCGGATCTTGAGCCGATTCTTATAAAGCTCATTGATGCGCTGACCCATCTGGGTGATCAGGACTCGAAGGTCAAGAGCAACCCCGTTAAAGTGCTCAGCACCACCCTTTGAGTGAATATTAATATTTACTACTATTGGTCATGATGAGCGTTGGGGTTTGAGCCGCAACTTATTGTATATGTTTTTGATCTGTACATATGCACATACTCTTCACCCTCCCACTATCTCTTTGTTTATTTCGGTCAGACTATGGCATCCTTTGTGGGGTTATATAATTTTTTCTATCAATACATAATGTTTATCATCAACAATGGGGTCGTCAGGCTTCCTGCCGAGGTAGTCACCGATCTAATGTTGATCAATGGAATGAAGTTATGACGTTGGATCAGATAACCGTGTAACATGCCAAAATAGAATATGGGGAAACCTTGGAAGATCGATATGAAGTACGTATACTTTGTATTCAGATATAAATCATATTTCCATCACCTGCCCACACCTATGTATGTATGTACCCTATGTAGATGGATATTTTAATATCACGCCTTGTAAGTCGTGATCAGGTCTTATCGGTTCCAAGGTACGTACCTTCCAGGGTTGCCCGGGTATGGCGATCCTTGCGACCGTGCATAGTACCCGGTTTGTACAACAGCCTATATCTAACCTTGGAAGTAAAAGGATGAGAGATATATAAGTGAAAAGGAGAAATAAGAAGATCATCGAGAATATAGGCAGCAAGTCCCCGTGTTTGCATCATCTGTGTGGCGTTCTAGGCTGACTAGGACACTCGAGACCTGTCGAGTCACCGGATGTGCGTCACAGACGAACTATCTTTCTTCATTATCACACCCCTTCTCTCTCTTTCTCCGCATCCATCTTGTTTCTCATATCTGTCTCAGAGAGATTTTTCATATTTATCTCGCTTCTCTACGTCTCACACTGATTTCATCCAACTGCATTTATCCGTGCGGAGAAGCTCTAGACTTGCCCCGAAGGTCCCAGGCCGTAGTCACACCCAGACCACATGCTGGGCGTCCATTGTCTTATCGTGAATCATTTAGCGTCTCAGATTCAGGATCGCCCTTAGAAGATTATCATTCTCCTCTTCTGTTAGCATGGCCCTCAGTCCTGGGACCATCGCTGCCCGATTGCGCTCCTGATAACAGATTCCGGCGGTGATAACACTCGGATCCAGCACTTCCCCGGGCCCGCTCCATCAGGGTAATACCGTTCTTGCCTCTTGTTCGCATGCGTGTTGATGGTCGCTAACCACGCGTTCGCAATAAGCCAATTAGCCGCCCGCCATGCATCAACATCCCCGATCATCGGCGGTGCCGTCTCCGGCGCCAAACTTTCCACCCAGACCGACAGCTCGGGACGACCGCAGAGAACAAGAAGCTACCCCGAGCTCTCCAACAGTCGATATGGGGTCTAATTCTGCTAAGGGGTTGGGGATAGAGCCGGGACCACAGCCGTCCGAGCAGGGGAGGAATGCGGCACTGGGCAAGGAGGCCCTGACCCGGTTAAATCAGATAATATCGGTATCGTCATTCAGATCGCCCCTCCAATGGCTTATCAGGATGGCTTATTGATGGCTAATCTCTTTTTCACCAGAACTATCACACAAAGGCCGCTTTGATTATCCTGCATTCACGAGTTGCACTACCTCCCTCATTTAACAAGGGCTCCGAGTCCCCTAGAGTCAACCGATGGGTACGTTTCCATCTCATGGTCGGATTTGCGATGCTTTTTGGGACAATTAAGCGTATGAAAGTGGCGGGTGCTAACTCTGTTTGTTTCGCTCCAGTTCAACGTCGAGTTAGATGATACAGATATCCTTCGGGAACCCCTGCGACCTTGGAGAACATGCGATGCAACGGACAATCGACCACCGCCCCTCGTTATCGAAACATACCTAGACACAAAGGGACTCACAAATAATCAAAGTCTGGTAATTCTTGATGAGAATGGGAAGCGTTGGGATGTGCGCGAGTCGCTTGCGGCGCTTCAGGGCGCCCGTGCAAAGCCATACCAATCGGAAAATGACGAGATTATCTTGGAGCGGTGGAGAATCGAGTTGGGAGGGTCCTCAAGCAGGCCTCCGGCAGATTTGGGTTCTATCTTGCCGACTGTGTATAAGAAAAGCATTGTGCTCTTCCGATCCTTATTCACCTACTCCAAGTTCTTGCCTGCATGGAGATTCTCTAAACGCAACAACAAGTTGCGGCAGAGTCCAGCTCTCCAGATCAAGTACCGCGTGGTAGATGGGAGCGCTGCTCGTGATGACCTCCCACTGGATCATTTGACAGCCCCGTTGAGTGAAGGAAGCGAAAAAGTGGTGGACACCTACAGCTTTGGGGTCACGGAGTCGCCCGCAGGTCCCTTTTCAGTTCAAGTCACGTATCGGACGAACTGCGATTTCCGTGTTGATGACTCGGAAGCGCTACTGAGCTCGCGGTTTATGGGTGCTGACGACGAGATCTTTCGTCCATCGTTGCCTTCCGATGATGTCAATCGCCCAAATCCCGAAGTCGGTTCTGTGCCAGTGGAGAGAAGGGCCGTCGAGAGTCCAGATTGCACACGTGCATACGGCAGTCTCTCAACCTTCCATCAGGTCGGCCCAACAAAAGGTGCAAGTCCTATATCAGCACTTCGTGCAATGAGAGATTCGGGCGCGGGGTCTCCTTCCCCGACAGACTCACCCAAGAGACTCCTCCCTTCTGCTAAAGTAGTTCCTTCAGGACGTGCTGCGCATATTGCTGGCGAAGGTGGAGGTTCCAGTTTCCCACGTCGTCCCTCCATTTCATTCCAACCTTTCAAAGCTCCTCCTCTTTCTGCTTCCCCGGCTTTACCAGACTCTCCCTTAGGAGCGTCTCCCCGCAACATGTCTTCACGCATCCCCACAGGAACATCTGCCGATTTACGCGTCATGCCGCCCCCTTCTTCTGCCGCTTCAGCGCGCAGACCTATAACCATCGCATCTGAACAAGCTATATCATCCTCTAATTCCGCATCCCCCAAACCTGCTCCTATCTCCCGGTACAGCAGCTCCTTTAGCCATCGACGAGGCCGCCTTTCCGCAGGGGCAAACAGACTGGAAGACGACAACTCTAGCGGCCGAGCGAGTGCAACATCATCCAATGCCCAGCCCGGGTCCGGCCTACTCACAGAAGCTACAGGCACGAGTGCAGAGTCCATTCACGCAGATGATGAGAATATATCCGATTTTTTGAAGATGCTTGATTCGAAGAAGGATCTAATGAATTCATCCACCTCTGCATCTATTCAGCCTGGTCCTAGGCAGCCAAACCCCACCGCGGCAGCTCTTGCTCGCTTCCGCGGTATGCGAGATTCAAATGCCGCGTTGTCTGACTCAATGTCACAGTCTATGCACATGCAGCGCTCTTCCATTTCTTCAAGCAAGCAACTGTCAGGAGTCCCACCGATGGTTGCGGGCACCTCCATCTCCACAGCTTCTTCTCCGGGGAAACCCATATCCCCCCCACACTCCCCATACTCCCCACATTCCTGCTATCCGCTCTCGTCTGAGCTCGAACAGCGTTGCTGATGACATTGAAATCGACCACCGTTCAAGAATCCCTCGCATACACCACGATCCGCCGCTGGAAGAACATTCCAGCACAGACAATACGCGAGGACCTTCTTCTACGGCAGGTGCTATTGATATTCCAACATCGCCCCGGATTTTCGATCCTGCTTACCGCCGCTCGAGCTCCGCAGCCGTTCGTCGGCCGATTGTTACAAGCGAGGACGACGAAATATTCCCATTTGGCTTGCGCAGCCTCAGTCTGGGGGCCGATGAGCCCTCAAACGCCACCCTAGGTGCCACCCAGCAGCAGAATGAGTCCCAGAAAAGCCAACAATCACCGGCCGAGGACCCAAGCGGCCCATCCGGCTCTGCAGCGGGTCCATATCGGGACAGTGCATCCCTCCGCGGGCAGATGTCTGGACCAACTACCGCCTCAGCCTCCTCCAACCCCCATGTCTACCAGCCCCGGTTCGCCAGCTCCCGCGGCCGCGGCTACTCAGGCGGGCATTCCCTCAGCTCAGCATCCAGCAGTCTTGCTCGGGGCGGCAATCTCACCCCGCACCTGGCGGAGCGCGACCAGGATCGCGATGGCAACGCCAGTGGAAGTAACAGCGGCAACTCCACGCTAGAGATCCGTCGCGGTTTTGCGCAGCGGCCAGGCACGGCTCGGACGCTGTCTGCACAAGCGCCCGAAGACGACGAGCCGCTACTCTTCGCTATGAGTGACTTCGGTGCCACGAGGCGCAGCCTGGATGAAGGTAGGCATGGGAACCACGGTGGAGCTGAATCGGCTGCTGGGTCCCGGCGTGGTAGTGGGAGACGGGGAGCAGGGCTCCCGGGCTTCCATGTTTGGTCGTGAAGTATGAGTGCGATGCTTTATTTTGGTTTTCTATTCTATTTTAACTTTCTAGGTCTCTCACTCCTCCCTCGCCTACCTCTCAAACATAATCTTATACCTGCTGCGATTCCTTAGGCGATTGGGCCTCCATTTGATTCAATTTTGGTTCTTGTTTTGCTTTTAAACCATTTCTTACTTGCGCAGTTGGCTGACTCCATAGACTGAACACTCCAATCCCAGATTGATTACTGCGATGTGCATAGAGATTGGGTCTTGTTATTGTTTTGTTTTGGGCGTCTTTTTTTTTCCTTTCTTTTGTTTCTTCTTCGCTTCCACTTTCACTTTCACTTCACTTCACTTTCGAAGTTCTGGGATTGCTTTGCTCATTTAGCATATTTCCTGCATGATTGATACGACTTGATGGTTTCTTGGAGACCGACGCTTTTTCTCCTTACGACTATATGATTCTTGATCTCTTTGATGATGTTGGTGGTTTTACTTGGTAGAGTTAAATTATCTATTAAAAAAAATTGAAACACTTGTTTGTATTCGTTACCACGGGATGAAACAAACTGGAAGAGAGACAAGATCTCGACTAGTATAACCACGGACAAAACAGCCCAGGGCCGCGCTGTGGAGGGGGTCGGGGGCCGACTGGGTTAAAATTGAGGGATCCATATCGATCTGAAGATAGCCATGGAGTCTTGGACAAAGAAGGGAAGGGAAAGGAGAAGAAGAACTGAAGAACCGGGTCTTTATAGGCGCCAAACGAAGTCTCAACTCACTAGGGAGCCTGGACAACAGGGATCCGTATACTCTTAAATTAGCCAGTGGCACCGAGAAAGACAGTTTTGTCTACCTGCATAACTCTAGGGCAGACTAGAGTCTTTACAAGACCTTCGCGGCTCACATACATGACCGATGAACTTTCCGGCATCAAAGTGAGGTTATTCTCACTTCCTCGACAAATTGATCTGGATTTATTACCTAACATCATCTCAATCCAGCGTATCATAGACCCATTCATATTTATACGGCTGAACCTCATATAGTAAGTCAGCACAGTCTCATGGAGTTGCAAGGATTTGGTGGCTTCACATGAATGCAACCCTAACATCTCGACAGAAATGAACACGGAAACTCCAATAACCCTCCTCCCGAGATGGGTTAGAGAAGATAACCTCGCTCAGAAGCAGCAGACTGTTGTTGAATCAAAGACCGATGCCAAATTGCCTATCCCAACCCCAAATGACGGGAACAAGGGAGACAACAAAGGGCCACCAGGATACTGGGCAAAAGGAGGGGAAAGAGATACGTAGAAGAAAAAAACAAGTGACTTCGTTACGGATCATGGGCATTCCATGGAGACATCTAAATACATTGAAACATCCAAATTTTTTACCCTGCTAGGAAACCTCAACTTAACACGCTTATGCGATGTACGTCGAGGCCGACACGTCACCACCACGGCCGGTCCAGTTGACGTGGATATCCTTGCCCTCGGGGAAGGTCTCGTTGGCGTTCTCGGGCTTGATGCGGAAAGTGTGGGCACCGAAGTAGTCACGCTGGGCCTGGAGCAGGTTGGCGGGCAGGTTCTTGGAGCGGTAGCCGTCGTAGAAGCTGAGAGCAGTGGAGAAGGCCGGAGCGGGGATACCCCACAGAGCGGTCTTGCTGATCACGTTACGCCAGCCGTTCTGGGCGTTGTTAATGGCCTTGTTGAAGAAGTCGTCAAAGAGCAGGTTCTCAAGGTCGGGGTTGTTGCGGTAGGCATTGGTAATATCCTTAAGGAAGACGGAGCGGATGATGCAGCCACCGCGCCACATGAGGGCAATGGAAGGCTTGTTCAGCTTCCACTTGTACTCCTTGGCGGCCTATATCGGGAACGAGGGTTAGAAATTGACCATCAGCGAGGCTGACATGAAAAAAGACTTACGTTCTGGATGAGCATGAAGCCCTGGGCGTAGGAGATAATCTTGGAAGCATACAGGGCCTGCTCAAGGTCGTCGACGAAAGCCTGCTTGTCGCCCTCGAACTTGGGGGTAGGACCGCTCAGGATGCTGCTGGCGCGGCCACGCTCGTCCTTGAGAGCACTGAGGCAGCGGGAGAAGACAGCCTCACCGATCAGGGTGACGGGCATGCCGAGGTCCAGAGCGTTGATGGCGGTCCACTTGCCAGTACCCTTCTGGCCAGCCTTGTCGAGGATCTTGTCAACAAGAGGAGTACCATCGTTGTCGTTGTAGTAGAGGATATCACGGGTGATCTCGATCAGGAAGGAGTCGAGAACACCGGTGTTCCACTTGGCGAAAACATCACCAATCTCCTTGGAGGAGAGACCAACACCGCGCTTCAGGATATCGTAGGCCTATATGATGTCAGTGGTTGCCCACAAATATTTTGCTTGAAAGTAGCCTTACCTCGCAGATCAGCTGCATGTCACCGTACTCAATACCGTTGTGGACCATCTTGACGTAGTGACCGGCACCCTCGTCACCGACCCAGTCGCAGCAGGCCTCGCCGTCGCTCTTGGCGGCGATGCTCTGGAAGATGTCCTTAATGTGGGGCCAGGCCTCCTCGTTACCACCGGGCATGAGAGAGGGTCCGTAACGGGCACCCTCCTCACCACCGGAGACACCGCTGCCGACGAAGCTGATGCCCTTGCCGGTGAGGTACTGAGTGCGGCGGTTGGAGTCGGGGTAGTGGGAGTTACCACCGTCAATGATGATATCACCCTTCTCGAGGAAAGGCAGAAGGGACTCGATGAAGTCATCGACGGGCTTGCCGGCCATGACGAGGAGCATGATACGACGGGGGCGTTTGAGCTTGGCACAGAACTCCTGGATGGACTTAGCACCAACGATGGACTTGCCTGTTTTATAATGAGCATTTTTGCAAAGGGGATTGGAACCTGTTATTCTCTGTAGAGCTTACCCTTGGCCTCGTTCTCCAAGAAACGGTCAACCTTGGCGGTTGTACGGTTGTAAGCGCAAACGGTGAATCCGTGATCAGCAACGTTCAGGATCAGGTTCTGGCCCATAACGGCCAGACCGATGAGGCCGAAATCAGCACTAGGAGCAAAGTGCGCCGGAGCGCCGACATTGATGCCGGCGAGACGGGCGCTATAGTCAGCGATCAATGTCTCGTCAACAATTGGGTAAAAATCACAACGGGGATAAAAAAAAAGGAATCCGTGTGCTTCCGAAAAAGGACCAGACTCGCAGTAGCTCCATTGGTATCATCTTGCGCGAGCATCTATATGGATTGGGTCTTCCAAATAGAGCTGTTGCATGACATCTGAGCAGCATTGAAGATCCATGCGCTCTGCTATCACTGCAAGATGCAAGGTGTAACCGCTGGGATGCTGGAATCGGTGAAGTGGGGGAGGGAAGTGGGTAGATAACTTACACAGCTTGGTCAGCCATGACGATTAGATGTGAAATATGAGGGTATTGAGAAAAGAAAAGGTGAATCTAGAGAAGAAAGGAAGATGAAGAAGGAGAGGAGGGGAAGAAGAAGAAGTAGCCCCAACCGGCTGACGGAGCAACTCTTCCGTCATCTTTGGTGGGACATACCGGGGGGGTACCGTGTACCAGCGCTGTTCTTACTGTCTCCGGTGTAGCGCCAAGTATTAGGTACAGGAGCAGAGTCGTCCGGTGTCAACCCACTCGGGTTCTGTTAGAATTTGGAAAGCATTATCCGACCCGGTTTCAATTCCCTCTATGCTATATACTATGGACGTGGGATTTCCATTTTAAACTTAGTATGTGATTGGCATTGCAGCTTTTACTTGTGTACGATAGCGGGGCATGGAGGGGTAACTTGACTTGAAGAATTGTATATTACATGGATAGTAAGTATGTAACTATACTATAGGTATGGAGTAGAGAAATTCAACCGAATATCCATGTAACTCATCGAAACCATCCGAATCAACCCCCATCCCACCTTGTCCACGCATCGGTGAACTGTTCTGGTAGAGTTGCGACGGAGAAACACTTGCCGATGAGTTCATAACCGGCTGCACATGAGCTAGGCTGTTTTGGGACTAGAGTGGGGGTTGCAGCGCCGGCAGCGGCAATGACTAAGCATGGGGGCTGTCCAGGTGCTTATGTCATGACTGAGTCAGGAAAGCTTGATCGAGTCATGTGACACAGCCGTCGCCAACGGCCTAGCCAGCCCATTCAGAGACAGAGGAGTCATCTCTCAGCTCATTCTCCGATTTTTCATTAAAAAAAATTCCAATTCAGCGTAGTCCTTAAAGACGCTTATTTCCCTAGCCTTTCGGATTTCTTACAGTGATCATCTGCAAGCCGCGCAACATTCGCCTCTTGCAAGTGCTCACTCATCCTTCGGGTGCCTATCTCAAGCGTGACGTCTGGCGAATGACTGCGGCGTCAGTCAGGCCCTGAAGGTACGTTGCGGTTGCTACTTTGCATCTAGCATTCTCGTCTCTCGCATCTCATTTCTCTCTCCCTATTTGAATATCCCATTCATCATGTCCCTTCCGCCTCCTCCAGGTCTCAAACAGACTCCCTCGTCACTTCCGCCCCGCCCACCTCCATCCTCCAACACCGCGCAACCTCCGACCACCAATCCTGCAGGCCATGGTGGTAGACCTCGACCAACAGGCTACAGCGCCTTCACGGCGTTCCAGCCGCGCGCGGTAGCCTCCAGTCAACCGCATCGCGCCAACACCCACTCGGTCTCGAATCCGCCAGTCTCTGCTGGATACGCAACCCCCGCCAACAGCTACGCCAACCACTATCAACAACCTCAGGCATACCAGAGCGCGCCTTCCTACTATGGACAACCTCAATACGCTGAAAACACATACGGCCCAACCGTCCCACACATTACCAACCCGTTCGGATCTACGCCCAACCAGGCCAACACAGGGTTCTCACAGGGTGGCAACGCCCCCGGCTTTGATGCAGAGACTGAAGCTCAAATTGCGCAGTGGCAGAGCGCCTATAACAAACCCACCGAAGACTCCAAGAACCAAGGCAACCAGTCCGGCTCAGGCGTGAACACCGGAACTGGAACCCCAACCGTCGGCGCCGGCACTCCCGTCCCGCAGTCCGAGTCACAAAAAACAGTCATTCGTTCTGGTGGCGGTGAAACATGGACCGACTCGACCCTATTGGAATGGGATCCGGCGCATTTCCGCCTTTTTGTGGGTAACCTCGCAGGCGAAGTGACGGATGAATCTCTGCTGAAGGCATTTGCTCGCTACACATCGGTCCAGAAAGCGCGTGTCGTCCGAGAGAAGCGAACCCAGAAGAGCTCAGGGTATGGGTTTGTCAGCTTCAGTGGAAGTGAGGACTACTTCAAAGCGGGACGAGAAATGCAAGGAAAGTACATTGGTTCTCACCCAATTTTATTGCGCCGAGCCGTGACCGAGGTTCGCCCAGCTTCGAACCCCAAGCATGGAAAGCATGGAAAGAAACAAAACAAAGGCAAGGGTCCTAAGGGAGATAACGCCGGTGGAGCAGGTGGAAAAGTGAAGCAGGACGGTATCAAAAAGCCTGCCAAAACCAAGGGAGGATTGAAGATTCTGGGTTAAGTCTTATGGATGCGACCGGTTCATGTAAAGGAGGTTTATGGAAAGAACGAGACTATATTTACATAGCAAGACTAATGATGCTTTTCCATTGCTACATGTACTATTACTGAATCTGAAATGGTATCAAATCAGTTTGCTTCCTTCTCGGGTAGAAGTAGAGCGTTCCCAATTGTTGATGATCTGGGTCACGTGAGTTTATTCATGGCCTCAGGCAGGTTTGCCTTGTCATCTCCATGGTGGACTTGGATTTCCAAGGTATTAGCTATACTCAGTTGAGTGCTTTAGTCAATTATTTATATACTTATAGCTTCCAAGGTTGCCCATAATATAAATACATATGTATGATGCACGGAGTATTCTGGGTACCTAGCCACAGTATGTGGTTAATAAATACATTGAGTTCCCCAGCCCCTCTAAAAGCACATGGCTGGGGAGAAAAAAAAAAGTCCTGTTTAAAACCCATTCACATTCCAGCTGATCCAATCTTCTCTATCCCTCCTTTCTCACATTCTTGCGATCTATATATCTCACTTTCCTCTAAAAAGGAGAGTTGTGTGTTGCGAAAAGAGCCAGCCCAACGAGGCTGTATACTTCTGTATACAAATCCACCCAACGCATTGCTGCCCACCTATACACGACATACCACCTTGAATTCCACGCCTTGTTTTGTTTTTACCTATCCTCCTATCGGCCTGACAAGCATCGAAACTCTCTACACATCTTGCCAAATCATTTACCTCTCCACCACGATCTGCTGATCGTCTCCACCCAAGATGGTTCAACGCAACATCACCATCGCGATCATCATCATCGTCCTCTTCCTCCTCCTTGCAATCGCTGGATTTGCCATTTGGGCGGTAAATAACCACGTCTCATTCTTCTCCAAGAAGAAGGAGCCCGATGCAGAGAGTGCAGATGGGTAATAAGGCTGGGTAGCAGCAAGCACTGCACCCTCGTCCTTGGCCTTGGGCTCTCTCGGTCTCGCCTTTACAGGCATTGATTACCTCTTCGGACACGCACACATACATACGATAACACACACAAACATCTACGACCACGACATATTCTGCGACACGATACCCTTTCTGTTGGCATTCAATACTATCTGCCACGATAACGAGCTGCGTTACGAGTCTTTTACGTTGAAACACGCCTTTTTTGTACAATTGTTGGCGATTGAAAGCAATCAGTACATATGTTGCTTTCCGTGTATCTTTTTTTCTTTTCTTTTTTTGTGACTTTTTGATGCGGAGTTGGAGGTATTTTGCTGGGTCCTTTTCTTTCTTGGATGTACTTTTGACCAGGGCTTCATTTGGTGCACATTTTTTGCTTTCTTAAACTCCATAGTGCATATTTCTATTGACAGTTCGAAAATATCCTAAGTTCATAAAGATTTGAAACAATATCGGTCTGTCTCTCACATCTTTTCAAAGCCGTATATGAAGTGAATACCTAGGTAGCTATACGTACTAGCTGCCGCTGCTTTTATGAGGGCGCTCAGACTCAGGCTCACAGAACTTTTCAATTTGATATCGCGCATATATATCCGGCTAACATCCACGCATCATTCAGTAGATGACTGAGTCACAACTACACCTTTTCAGTCTGCGGGTTGCTCTCATCTGCATGTTGAATGAGGGCTGCTACGTATTCCCCATTGCTCTCATCGACACCACCGATGAAAAAGCACAGAACCAGCGCCAGACCGCCGAATCCCAACGTGGAGAGAAAGACGGTACTGTACGCCTGAGAGTTTGCTAGTTGATATGCAGCTTCAATCAGCGGGATGCCCCCGGCAGTCAGACCCGGAACAGCCCCGCCTTGAAGGGCTGCCCTATTGCTTCTTGTAAGGTTTGTGATGAGCTGGGGGATGAAGGATTCGGGCACGCCTACCGACAGCGCGACTGGAGTGATAGCGGTGGGAATCGTCTGAGCCAGGCGATTGCTCAGGATAGTGTTATACATTGCTACTGCAATGGAGGTGCCCGTTAGCCGAATACATCCACTCAGACCGCCGGCAGTGCCCAATTTTTCCTGGTCTTTGATTGGGAATGTCGTCATGGGCAGACCAATTCCATCCGCTATGCCAATTATGAGGTTGCCCGAAACGAGTACGCCCACTGTCAAGTTTAGGTTCAGTGGGTTGGCTGCGCAGGCCGCGAGCAGCCCAGTGCCGATGAATGTGCCCATGATGACTATTGGTTTGGCAGGTAGCCAGTTCGCGAAAAATGGGCCCACCATCTGGCCCAGCGCAAATGACATGGTTACCAGCCCCGCCATGGTCGCGGTGGTGGATTGACTAAGATCAGGGTAGAGGATGGCGACGGCCCTGGGCCAGATAATGCTGATGTACATTAGGATGTCTCTCCATCAGGCTTAAAGGGGGCGTCACGTACCCAAAGGCATAAAAGTTCATGGCTTCAATTGCACACCAGATCACGCAGGAAGTGTACTTGATGTCTTTGAGCAGTCGAAGCGGAAGGTAGGCTTCTTTCAGCGACGGTTTCAACTCATAAGTTATACATATGGCCAGAATAGCGACCCCGGAGAGCAGGGTTCCCAAAACCTGTCCGCTCTTCCAGGGGTAGATCGACTTTTATGCTCGTTAGCAATCACAGTAAGCTTGATAGCAGAGCTGTGCACTTACGCCACCCCAGTTTAACCCCATTAGGAAGAGGACCATGCCGGTGGAAAACAGTACAAGACCGGCGAAGTCAAACTCGCGAAGCTGTTGTTTAACAGTTTTATTGCGGTGTAACATGTGGAATGATGGCGGGTGGTAGAAGAAAAACCACAGCGCTACCGACAGAGCGTTCATACCAATCAGGACGTAGAAGCATCCGCGCCAATGTACTGCAGTGTTATTCTGGATGGTGATAGCACTCTTCGGTCCGAGAACATTCTAGTCGCAGACGTCAACAACTTCAACTTTTCTGCACAGAGATCCTGGTTAGTATTTACCGTTGGCAAGGTCCACATAAACAGTCCAGCGTTGGCGATGAAGCGCCTCTTCATAGGCACAATCTCGGACACAATCCAAAAGAAAGAGTTCTGAAACCCCGAGCCAATCCCTATGAGAGTTTCCCCTACTATGAGCTGCCCCATAGAGCCAGCTGTCGCACCGACGATACTGCCAACCAGCCCGATCATCGACCCAATAATGAAGAACCAGCGGCGGCCAAACAGATCGCTCAGACTGCCGGCCAGCATGAGCACGATCGCCTGGGTCAAGGTATACACAATGCCGACCCAGTTGATGTCATTCGATCCGGATCCTACACCCTTCTTTGTCAGTACTGCTCCAAATCTTATTGAATAAGCGTAGTCCAGCAGATATACCTCCGATGTCGTCACGGATGTCGTTCAGGATCGGCATTACAAGCGCATACCCTCCAGTTCCACACGCAAAAGCGAGTCCAATGGCCTAGTTAATAGCAGTCAGAGATAATAAAGAAGGAGGGAAAGTGTCGAGGAAGGGGTAAAAATCCATACACAGTAACTTCCGATGAAGTATGCGCTGTAAAAGTACCCTTTAGGCAGTTCGGCCTGCTCCCGCCCCTGGGCTTCGGGAAGGCGGTCACTCTCGACAGGTTTCTCTGAGTGCTGAATCATGTCTGCTGCTTCGACATGCTCAACCTGTAGCCGCTTGGCATCTTGACTCGCGGTGGTGGACAGGACACTCAATGTTCTTGTGTCTCGTGTTATCAAGCAAGTGCAAAGCCGATTGATAGGCAAGGAAGTAACAGGGATGGCGGATAGGGACGTCTGCTAATGCAGCTAGCATGCATTATATGCAGCTTTATAGAAGGGAACGACTCGCCATGCGCCCCAGAGTCCACAGTTGCTGACCCCACGGGGTACAGTGGGTCCATGGGGTTTAGGTTTGCGTGCCCGAACTCTCGTCTTCTGAAAGGATAGGAGGTGAGCCGGGCTGGCCCGCGGCTTCAGCCGCTGCTCTATCCGGGACGGCTCTCTACCGGTTGCTCTATCGTCTGGGGTAAATATGAGTCTCGCTTGTGCTCTTGGCGGGGGACACTTTTTGGGCAAAAAGTATCGATCCAAGGAGGCTGAGAAGTCGGGTAGATCAGTACGAAAGAGGCATTACGTGATGAATGGCGGACCAGAAGAAAATGAAGAGCTGAGCTACAGGGGAAAACCTAAGAGGAAGTGAGAAAATTCCAACGAAATATGGACGAGCAAAGAAGCCATCTTCAATGAGCGACAATCTCAGGCACTAACAACACCCCGGTGTGCTGACAGAAGGTCTTATGCTAGTTATCAAATGTCGTGGTAATCAAGTACTTCATAATTCAAGGGTTGATTTATTTCATCTGCACTACAATGTAGCTCTGCTAGACACACTCTTGCCTCACAATCTTCCAGCGTGCAGCCCGCCGCTGATGACCAGATTGCTTCCAGTGGTATACAGGGATGCATCCGATAGGAAATAGATGGCAGCGCCCTTCAGATCCCTGCTATCGGCCATCCGGCCCATGGGAATGGCATTCCGCATGATGGTAGCCATAGCCGGACGATTCGTGAATTGACTGATCGACATGTCGGTGATAGTGTGCCCGGGAGAGATCATGTTCACGCGAATGCCCTTCGGCGCTAGTTCAACGGCCAAACCACGAAGCAAACCATTAGCCGCTCCTTTGGATGCTGAATAAGCTGTCAATCCCTGGCTCTCAACACCGCTTTCCGTCGCGATACTTCCGATGAGAATAACGCTACCCTTCGGGATGAGAATGAGATTATCAGAGGTGGGCTGGTTTTTGAGCATCGCCTTCACCGCTAACTGCACGGTGAAGAAGAGCCCAACGCTCTATAACGACGTTATTGACCAGCTCATAGTGCAGGATGATAGCGCCTTCTTTTTATCACGTACATTGACCATGTGGAGCCGAACCACCTCCTCCCATGTATGATCGACAAAGGGCTTTTCAACGCAGATACCTGCACACGCTATCCTATTGAAATTTTAGCACTTTGAAGAAATTGGCGATCTTACGGCAAAGGGGGTGACAACAAGGGGTAAAGAAACTGGATGGCAATGAACTGGAGAAACTTGCACGCCGTCAATCCTTCCAAACTCTGCTAAAATCCCATCGAATGCTTTGGTTAACAGCGTCTCCTCACTGATATCGGCCCTGCATGAATAATTTCCATGTTAGCAGCAGTCAACTAGATCCAATGTCAATTGCATATGAATAGCACACCTAAAATACTTCACTCGACTCTCCTTGTGCAAGTCTTGAATCTCGCACAGATCGAGGTGAGCCACCTCACGATTGCCAACCACTGCAACATGGCCACCAAACTCCACAACAGCCTTGACTAGAGCGAGTCCGATGCCATCCCCACCACCTGCAATTGTATCAGCTACGACCTGTGGCTCTGCAAAGATGTACTTAACTGTAATTACCACCACCTTGTTCCGCAAACTTTGAAAATCCTCCACGGAGCTGACAGTTTTGTACGACTGCAGCGATTGTTGGATCGCCGATTGCGAAGCCATTGTTATCAATGTCACAGATTAATGTTGAGTTAATTTATTCTCAGAAGGTTGCCAGCTGATCAGCTTCGTGGTGCCACTGGGATCCGATTCCATTTCAATGGCAATTAGTAATTGGCTAATGACAGGGGGGCGAGGCGGAGGTATGGATAGCATCATCATTAGATGCCAGAACGCAGCCGAATGTGATGTGTGTAGTATTATTAATAAACGTCCGGCGTGTCCCTCGGGAATGCAGCCGAATATGCCGACGAAGGGATATTTAAATCATCTCTCAACATCACTACTATTGGTGTCCACACATTCTATTCTCTTATGACAGTGCACCCTCAAAGAAGTCTCATCTGACTATTGCGCCATCCTCACCGCCATTCTCCAACAACCACCACAACAACCGCTTCTCATCAATATTCGGTTCCTCGCATCACCATGGCATCCAACCAGAAATTCACGCCTCGCGAAGTGCTAGAGGCTTTCTACAAGGCAGAGCGTGTGTACATGCAAGCTGCACCCGACAAGCGTGACTATGCAAGCATTGCAGCTACTCTGGCTCCGAATTTTCGCATGGAGCAGACATCCGCTCTGCCATACGGTGGCCTCTACATCGGGCAAGATGGCATGCAAGACTGGACGCGCCGCATGGCCGATTACTTTGAGGTTGTGGACGTGCAAAACCCGGAGTACTTTGAGCGCGCCGGGTCGGACAAGATCGTGATATTGTCGAATATCCACTTCAAGGTGCGCAAGACTGGCCAAGAGTTGGATTTCCCTTTCTGTCAGTCTGTGACCGTCGACCTCGAGCGGGGCGTGATTGTCGAAATGAGGCCCTTTTACTGGGACGTGGCGGAGGTGAATAAAGCTCTTGGATATTCTCCATGATTTTATCCAAATAAGCAATCGGTTAGACTAGCTGGCAACATGTGGGGGAATGGAGCGCGATATTAGTTGTTGAGACAGGCTATCCATGCCCGATCTGCCGCTACCTTGTCAGGCTTCGGCCTCCAGCCAGCTACATTGGTTAGCTTCGGATTGTCCGTAGACAATCAATCATTCTTCTCACTCTCTGCTTCCTAGTGGTCTCACCATGGCCTAAAAAATAAAAATAAAACATGTATTGAGTGATGTTGTTGTGGTGGCCTTAGGCCGCATTTCGTGCCTCAGGCATAAACTATCTCAATTTGGCCGGTGGATAGTCGGAAGCTCGCCTTCCTGTAGAAATCAACTCTCTCCCTCCTCCCGGTCCCTACATAGTAGAGCCCTCAACAGATGTGTCTGAAGAAAGCAGATACATAAAGGTGAATATTTTAAAGTCAGTGGGAGTGGGATAACCCACTACCTAACAGTGTGGTATATTCTAGGATTCTACAGAACCTTTCAAACGAAGTCCATGAATGTATCGACATGCTAGTGCATAGTATACTGTGAAAACAAACGAGATAGGCGTTTCATAGTAGCCTCTTATGAAATCTTATTCCGGAAACATGGCGGCTGCGCAATTTCCAAGCTTGCTCCATTCATCACGTGCGCAGAACAAAGCCCATGTGCACGGCGATAGAATGCCTCGGACTGGGCTTGACGCTTGTCAACCTCGCCCACTGGCAGTACCGTCGTGTGGGTGGCCATGGCGAGCACCATGTTTAGAACCCCCAGCCAAGTGCGGCGTGTGGCCGCGTAGTTCTGCCTCAGCTGCGCATATGACTATCGGAAAGTTTCTTGGTGAATATATGGGAAGAGTAACCCAGTATTAGCAAAATACTGGTCGATCAGTACCGAAGTCTCCTGGTCCGGCGGCAGGTAGAAAAACGACGACGTCAGTGGGTCTTCCTGATGGTTATTTGACGCCCATTGTGCTGACTGAGACGTTGGCGAGCTCGGTCGTGAGACTCGCGCGATGTGAAAATCTAGCGGTGTCGTCTGCTTGCTGCCAGATGAAAACCCGCCGCGGCTGCGTGATAGGTGTTTCAGGGTGCGCGACAAATCTGACGCGAAAGAAATGTTCGATGATGGTCCTGTAGTGGAGATTGAGTGTCAGCCCCACAGACATCGTGAGTAGGAAGAGCAGAGAGATACCAAATTAAGCGCGATGTTCCTCATGGGCAATCACAAAATGGCCCATGCCATCAGTAGGATCGTCCGACCCGATTGAGCCAGTCAGTGGGCCATCGCTGGTGGAGACAAGGTTGGGAGTCAGGTCAGGCTGGTTATCAATGTCGGGCGTGTCTACATCACTCCATGATCTTTTGGAGCCGGTGCGGCCTTGATCAAGCAGCGATTCGAGATGATGCAAGCGCTCTTCGATTGTTTGAAATTGTCTACACATGCGTATATCTGGCTTAGCATAACCATGATCTCATTATGGGAGATTTGTCTGCTTTACTCTTTGCCTACCACGACAGTCTGATCAGTCTGTCCTGACGAGACGTATTGGCAGGTCAGCCCTAACTCAGTACACGTGCTGCACTTGGGCCGTTGGCCGCTGCACTGATCACATATGCGGTCAGCATATAGTACAAAGATGGTGGGGCCACGGACATACACGGGATTTTCGGGTGCGACAGGAAATGCAAGCTAGGCCGACTCGGCGTCGCTTTGGTTGCTGCTGAGTGGCAGTGGCTGCAGGATTTGCAGGCATTGAGACTGCGGATTATTCCCCCGTTTCAGAATCAGCTCCACAATTTGATGATTAAAGCGAAGAGGTACGATAGATGAAGTGCAGGTTCCGCGGGAATTGCCGACGATTTCCGGGAGTTAGGATCTCAGTAGAGAAGACACGTGATGCTTCGCCAGTAGAGAATTAGCTAAATAGCGAGAGCCGTCTGGTCAGGGATTGGATACCAGAAGGTGTTGAGGATACTGCTAGCAAGGACGAGGGAGAGAAAAGGAAGAAATCCATGATCTTTCAATCTCGTAAAAGAAAGCCTTTTCATTGGCTGCATCTAACAAAGAAACATTCCCGAGGTCATTCCACAGGCATCCACGGGAAATTTCAACAGAAGGGATCAATTGGACAGTGATCTGATATAGATGTAGTGTCTAGATACATGAAAACATAGCGTTACAGGCGACTCGTGGGCTGATTCAGCATCTGGATATCAGATATATCAGTAACTGAATCGTACGCGCACACGTTGTAGTAAGAAATCCACCTTCTACAGCAAGTGGATCAAGGATAGATCAACCCCGCAGAGATAAAGTACACACTACCACAATATAGCTGACAATCTTAACCAGACACCAGAGGTTCGATATCAACACCCTCCACGCGGTAGAATCCCAGAGCGTCCAGCATTGGCTTGTCATGGAAGCGATACAGGTAGACATCCTCTACAGCATCCGCAAAATGCTGGTATCGGTGCCAAGAGGGAATGCAGAAGGTGTCTCCAGGCCCCCAGGTAATGCGACTATCCCCAATAATGGAATAACCCTTTCCGGACACAACATGGTAGACCGAAGAGGCCGTTTCTTGGATGCCTGGCGACATCTGCCCAACTCCGAGTCGCTCAGCGGACCCTCCCAGGACTTTGGAGACTATATATCCGAAGTCATAGTTATAGAATGTCCCATCATTTATTCGAAGGAAGGCTTGAAACCCGACATACCTGGTCGACCATCATTCTTCAAGTAGTCCTCCGATGCCCAATCGCCTGGAGTGTCGTCAAGGGCCTGCTTCATCTTCGCCCAGGGGAAGACAATGGGCGACGTGTTAGAGTCTACATCATCGGCCGGATACCGAGGGTGGTGATAATGCTCGACAAAGTGGACGGGGAAATGCCGAAAATTAGGCAGATCGAGTCCATCCAGCCAGATCATAGGACCTGAGCCATCCTTTCCGTGGTCATGCCAGTTCCACCGCGGAGTCAAAATCACATCGCCACGCTGCATACTGATGCGCTGCCCATGTACCGCGGTAAAGCCGCCCTGGCCTTCAATGATGAATCGCATGGCGAATGCCGTGTGTCGATGCGCTTGTGCAACCTCGTTGGGCATTACCAGTTGCAGGCCTGCGTATATAGTGTCGGTTGTGTAAGGGGCTTCTACTTGGAATTAGATCAATCATGCCAAATCGAAGATTGCAATGTCGCATCCTACCTCGAGCCGGGTTCACCAACATCAACACTCCCCGCTCGGCTTGGCTCTCACTAACCAGCTCGCCGGCTTTCAACAGACTGGGCCGGATCTGGTCATAGCGCCAGATGTGTGGCACGCAGCTGGGGTTCGGAAGAGGTGGGTTGAGCTTCGCCATCTGCGTCCAGAGAGGCTTGGTCTGGAGCTTCTCCAATGCCAGAGCCAGATCATCAGATGTATGTATCTCCTGGTCCCTAGCCTCCACATTCTTTGAGGCTACGACCTTGGAGGCAGTCTCTGTTTCAGCGGCCATTTTTAATTTCTTGATGTCGCAGTAAGAACCAAATGATAGAGGGGTTCTGGAGCTGACGTGTTCGCTATTACCCCGGGCAAGAGTGCATTTATTACTGCTCCTGCGAAGCACTGCGTGAACTACAGGGATATAGAGTTAGGGTCACATCGGATGTCTGCCGCGGGAGAACCCGTAGTACCCGTAAGCCCCGGTATTTTTCCCGGGCCTTGAACGGTGACAGAGATCAGAATTTCTTTATTAAGTATCAGGTCTAAGACGTAGAGGGAATCAATTACTGTGTTTCGTGTTCAATCCGAATCAAATTCAACAATGAGAGTCGCTTGGCAACGATTGATCAGATTCCAGGCCGCGGATGGCCGTGTCCTTCGAGGCGAACCGATCCTGCCCAGACCGGATTTAGACCTGGGATATGTCACTGAGAAGGATCAGCTGCAAGCCCGAGTCATTGTAGGTGAGGATATTTTCGACGAAACTGGTGTGACGCGGGTTTCCGACGAGATAGTGACGGTTCGAAGAATCTTGTCTCCGCTTGCACCGTCAGACGTGCCAACTCTCCGGTGCGTTGGATTGAATTATTTAAAGCATAGTAAGAGGAAAATCAAACAACCTACCGCAAATTCAGATAGCTGATTGCCGCAGTCCAGCAAGCAAAGCGAACTCCGCCGCCCTTTCCCTTCATCTTCTTCAAACCACAGACGACAATTTTGGACCACGGCGGCAACGTGGTTATTCCAAAGATTGCCCAGGATGACCAGGCCGACTATGAAGGAGAGCTGGTATAAGTTTATCTGCGTCCGGACTTGCAGTCATAGTCCTCTTCGTGCATTCATAGACGTTAAACTGACCAGGTACTTAGACCATCGTCATTGGGAAAGACGCAAAGGACGTCTCGCAAGAAAACGCCCTTGATTACGTTGCCGCTTATACCATAGGCAATGACATCTCATCTGGAAAGCTACAGCGCGACCCAGATTATGCTGGGCGTATTCCCCAATGGGGCTTCTCCAAAGGGTTTGACACTTACGCGCCAATTGGGCCTTGTCTTCTGGCCAGTAGTCTCGTGGACGATCCGAAGAATCTGCATCTCACCACCGTCGTTGATGGCGACGTGCGACAAGATGAGTCTGTCGACGATCTGCTATTTGATTGCCGCTATCTCATCTCGTACCTATCTCAGGGCACAACTCTGCAGAAGGGCAGCATAATCATGACAGGCACGCCTGGTGGTAAGCTATGTATTTTATTCTAGGATATACAGGTTCTAACTTACGTCTCTAAATCTAGGAGTAGGGGGAGATATGAATCCCCCGCGGTGGCTGCAACCAGGCACGCAGATGGAGGTGCACATCTCTAAGATCGGGACACTTAGAAATGGAGTTGTGTTTGCTGAATAGATATTAATAAAATACTTCATATGAATGCCACACTCCCTCCGGTGCCTTCGAATCTCTCGCTAGCAGTGCCTAGTCTATACTTCTAGGGGAGCACCACTATAGTTATATTACCTATCGATAATCTTAGAGATAAAATAGAGACCGGAACGGCCAAGACTTAGCTCGCCTAAAAACCTATATTTAATACTAATATAGACGGTATGACGGGTAGGAATACTATTAGATAGCGGTTTGTAGCGGTCCCTATATTCCTAGCTTCGTTCGCACTAAAACTAGACCTTAGGGATAACACTATTGTAGATATAGGAGCGCTTCTTTAAAGTGCTATACCCCTATACTACCGCCTAGTCACCTATCTAATCTCACGTTTCTTTAATTGTGGCGAAAAATCGGTCGTTAACCGGTGATAGAAGTATCAACTATTGATCTGTAGTTGTAGGATCGGGGGTATACTCGCCATTAAGGATGTAACTTGCAGCCGACACAATGAGCGGGCAGCTCTTCGCTATAGTATATATCGGCTCTTGATTCCCTGATCATATTCAAATCCCACAACACCTTTTTCAAGCCTAAATATGGCATGGTCCACGAGCATATATATATTCCAATTTTGGTGATTCTTGGCTATCTTCCTAATGGCTTCTTCACAGAGTCTACAGTGCTTCAAGCTGAAGACAATCATGAAGAAAAGGTTTGTTATGGCAAGCGTAAGTTGTAATCCAATCATTGTTCTTAAACGGGAGAGCTAAACTCAGATCCAGCGCGGCTCACCGGTAGAAACTAGAAACTAGTACTACCAGAGAGTTGTGATCAAAATAACACGTCAGTGGTCCGGTCCAAGAGCCTGTAGGATATTCTAGAGGAATCAAATCTACAGGAAGTGCTCGCCGTGGAGAAACGTACTGTGTTGATTCCTATCGAAAGAGAAGGACGAAGAGAAGAGCGAGAGAGGGAGCTATCCAACTACTGGATCTGTCCCAATGGGGCCTGTGCCCCACTCAGACATCCAACACATATTCGGATGTAAAATAGTAAGTAGTGTTCAGGGCATTCAGGTGAATGGGCTGAAAAGAGTAGGGCGACAAGAGGGACTTTCCGAACGAATCAAAAAAGCAAAACAAAAAACATACAACAGTGAGGATTCGCTGGTGGTCACCCACCCAACTACTAACTCACCGGCGTGTGGCTTAAGTACGGCTGAGCGGACGGGAAGCCCTGTTTTCCACACCCTATGGTCGTATGTACTTAACTTACCTATATAGGAAAACATATAGAGCACGGAAACTCACTCGTAGGGAATGGGCCATATCTCAGGCTATATCCATGTTCCTCGCGTCTGTTATTGGGATAAGTGCCACGGAATATTCATGACCCAACGAAATCCCATTATGTATAGTATGCCTCAACTCTTTTGTATCTAAAAAAAAATATATCTGTCGATATTGTGAGAAGTATAATTCTAAACTTCTCGATACTTTGACAACCATAATAGACAAGGGGAATTCAAATGCACTGCCTCCAGGGGTATACATATCTACCCAAACTAGGTAATAAAACATTCCACCACCGAAAAAGCCTTAACATAGATGAGATCCTAAGTAGATAGAGAAACCATAACGCCCCAGTAAAAAGATATCTCGCTTAAAAAACATAACTCAGAAGCTCTTGTGCGCGAAGAGCCGTGGCGACATGCCAAGGCATTGTGTTGTTTTGTACACTGCATATGCCCTTGGCCCGGGCAAGACAGCCCAGGTCCCGATACATACTTAAGGTATCTTTCAGGACGTTATCGTGGGATGCGGGAGGGCGTGGGGAATGGATTAGATTTACGGAGATTGCAAACACACCGTCGCCATCAGTAGCACCCTTGCGACGGAGGAGATACCCGCTGGACAAGGCGGGTCGGAATTCGGTGAGGTGTGGAGAGCTGTTGAGCCGGTGTGATAGGATGGCTAGCCAGGAATCGTCGCAGATATCAGTGAGGACGGCTTCTGAATCTGTTTCAAGCGACATGTCCGTTGGCGTGGGGGCATTGTAGGCGGCGGGACCTGCGCTGGTTGGCGTGGCTGCATTGGCTGATTGTTCGGGGGATGCAACGCTGGCACTTGGATTAGGAGTCGAGACAGGGGTAGATGAAGACAGTATATTCAGCATAGCCATCGATATGGGTGGAGCCGGTGGCTCAAGGATCAAATCGGGAACAGTGTTGACAGCCAGGATGGTCAATTCCAAGGACCCAGGTTTTGACTTATTGTGCTGGTCTGCTAGACTAGCCCATGCTGTGAATGTGTAAGTGATTTGCCCTCGATATCAGAGAAAACAGGAAGCAGTACCTTCAACCTCATCGGTTTCCATAGGCTCGGTAGTCGCCAGTTGAACCTTCCATCGTGCTTGGAATTTATCCATAATGTGCTTCGTCGTAGCCCAGATTTCATTTCTCACCTCGGCCACCGGTCTGGCACCACTCGACTGACGATACCGCAGGCAGTAAGACATGGTTCTTTGTATAGAACCTGGCAAATCAGACCATGCCACCGATATCCAGCGTTGATCAAGACTTTTAGAGTAGGCAATGTGAAGACTTCGCCCATCCTGAAGCGGCGAGGATCTTTCGGGGGAAAGTCGGAAACTAATGGCTCTCGGGAGAGCGTCGGCCAGAAGCATTGGTGGCGCGCAGAGCAGGGGGCTCATATCCACATCATTTGGGCGACATCGACTGTAGACTTCGAGAGCCAAATTCAAATAATCCGTCTGGGGGGGTATAATCATCGTTTCGCTCGACATGACGAACTCCAGCGGAATTATCTGCAGAACAAGCTCGTTGGAAATTCGAGTCTGCCTTCGTTCGGAACCGGCTACCAATTGTTGGAAAAGGTGCCAGAAGGCGGAACAAATGTCTGCTAGTGCCGCAGCGTGCGTAAATGGGTTGATGATATAGACAACATGGTTATCAGTAGTGCCTGGGGATTGTGAGAGCTCCGAGCCTTGGTGATTGTTAGCAAAGCACATAACTGACAGAGAAAACACTTACCAAGCTGCTCGCATGTTCTCTTCAATACCTGCATCATAGATTCATAACTAGATGTTTCAGATTTCCATGACTTCAGCCCCTCTTCAAATGCCACAGAATCGTCTCCTCTGGTATGGGTTCCAAGACTGCAACTTTGATAGAGAAGACCAAACCGTCTCAAGAACACATCTGCTGCTTTTGACGCAGCTTGTGGGTGAATACAATAAGCAGAAATGTTCTTTGGTCCATGAGCAGGTTCAAGACCAAACGTCTCCCAAAAGGATACAGCCGGGGGAAGAGCCTCTAAGTATTCTTTGCCTCGACGCACACGTATGTGTGGCGCCGATAACTTTGAAATGAAGCTTTTTGGGGAGTCTTTAGGTGGCGGCGGATGTTGTGGCGGTTGCTGTTGCGGTTGATTCGCAACAAAATCATCCTGCAATGATGTGTATCTTTTGAAGTCCATTCTCGAGGTCTCGCCCAAGAGCGTTGTGTCGTCAAGGACTTGCAGTGACAAAGGCTCGCTCTCGAGATCAAAAAGACCAATTTGCCCATCAAGTGGATGCTTGAGGGAGGATTGCGTGATTTGGTCAACCAGAAGTTGGGCAACTTCAAGTTGACCTTCACGGCGAAGAAGTACAGGGAGTTGTTGAGGTGGAAAGGCAGAGAAATAACCGGTTAACGTCCAATCGGAAAAGTTAGCTAGAAAATTACCGAGGAATGTAGAGTTCTCGGCTGCATATGCGGGACTTGCTTCTGGGCCAGGCAATGACTTCTCTTGGGATGCAACCGATATTATATCAGATTCCGAAGGAGCTCGTTTCCGCTTCAAAGAAGGGATTGACGTCGTGGCTGCCGGCGTTGGAACATGCTCCGACATGATCTCGATACTGTCGTCGCTGCTATCACTGCTCACCGAGGCTGATCGTAGACCATTTTCTGACTGAACCAGAGATAAACTAGTCTTGTTACGTTCTTTCGAGGAGCCAAGTGCGTTGGCGCTGCTTCGGCCACGGTGAGGAATGCCAATCGTAGGTATGTCAGATGTCTGATTTAACGTGTCCAACGAGCCACCACTGGAGAACCAGAATTTGCCGGCTGCTCCGTACTTCTGATCCCAATCACCAAGTTTCTTCTCGAATGCCACTGGGTGGTAATGCCCTTGCCCCCGATTATCTGTCGACTGTTGATGATCGTCTGCCTCGGGCCCCGGGAACAAGATCTTTTTCACTTCCACTGGGCTCAAGGGCGGGCTGATTGTTTGACTTGCGCGATCCATAGGCGAATGAGCTGGTTCTTCGGGGGCCATAGGCTCTTCAGATAACTGTCGGGCTTCGTGGTGTATCGGAGAGGCGTGTACCTCATGAGTGTCGACATGAGCTGGGATTTCCCGTGGCTGGTTGGGGGAGGGCTCTGCATCAACCATGGCATCGGCCTCCGATTCACTCTGAGGATGAGATGCTTCAAGAGCTTCATCTGCATCCTCTACACGAGAGTCACCCTCCATGCCATCGAAATCAGGGTCATCAAAAAAGCTGAAGTCCGCATCGGTGATACCTCTCGACCCAAAATCTCTTTCGTTCATTTCCCCAAAGAGATCTTCTTCGTCGCTTGCATCATATCGGCCAGTGCCAACTCCACTATTCTGAACGGGTGACATGTCAGATCCTGGTGCGTTTCTTCTTGAACTTCGTTGCGTTGCATGGGGTAGTCCGAAGTCAGAATCGTCGGCAAAAGCCTCGGAAGGGTTTGGGTTGTTCAATCCGACTGCTGCAGCTCCATCTGGGGGAGTTGGATAAACAAGATTCGTGCTTTGCAAATCAGGATATTGCGCAATTCGGGATAAACTCTCTATGCTTTCCAGGGGTTCGGCCTTGGGTGGCGACGGCATTTCTTGGTCTTTCGATTGTGGGTCTTGGGTGGTAGGGGTGTTTTGAGCAGTAGGGGAAATATGATCTAGCTTGAGAGAGCCCGCCATTGTAGACCATCGCTCTGCAAAATCCAGGGGTTCGTCAAGAAGGGAGGTTTGAGCCCCGGAAGAGAAATTTGATGAGCTAGCCCTTCTGAAGCAAAATCTCGCTGGCCATAGCATGCGTTTCAGCGGTAGTACAGATTGACTATCATCGCTCTGTCGCCATGCTTCCCCAGCAAGCCTCGCGAAAAATGGCTCCCAAACCTCCACTTCAACCCAGGGTTCTTCATCAATTGAGTCAACATGCAACCCAAAATTCCGCAGCCACTGCACAACGTCCAATTTCCATTGTATTCTTTTTGCAGACAGATTCCCAGAGGCGGGGTAGCCCAGAGAAGGAAGGGCTGGCGAGTCAATATTAGCCGTGACAAGCTTAGCGATAGTCCCGTTCGGGCATAGCCAAAGATCAATTCCAGGCTGCACGTCGATTATTTCGGTAATGTCCTCGCATGGACTGCACAGTCGCGTTATGCCCGTTTGGGATACAGTCTGGGCGGAAACAGTTATTGTTCCACCCATAGTTAACTGGATGTTGAGTGTAGTCAAGCAAGAAGTGGAGAGGATGCTGTTATTGTTGATATGGGGACTTTCGTATCCCGACCTTTCGACGGCAGTGAAAAGGGTGCGTGATCCGAGGGGTAGAGCAGCATGGCGTCGAATCAACTGGAGGCCGATTGAACCAGTGACAGCAGATATAAAAGAGGCATAAATGGCCGCTGAACTGCTGTAACCATCTTGACGCCGAGATGACGGTTGGCTCTGATGTGGCCGTGGCTGCCCAGCGGGTTGGGTACTGTGCTGACTCTGGTTGTCGGACGACAGCCCTTTCACCAAGTCTAGCGAGGAGACACTTCCCAATGCAGAGACTATTGTAATAAGATTAACAAGGTCCGAAATAACTCCACGAGCTGTTCATAGACATACCTTTCAAAGTTGTTGTGCCAACGACGATCCTATTTGACTCTGAGTCACTTCCCCTCACATACAAAGGTTTCAGGCTTTCAAACTCGGGAGTGGGGGAGAACACCCAAAGCCCTAGGCGCCTAGGGCATGAGGCCAGACAATTCAAACCTCTCAATCGAGCCTCTAAATCTTTGAGACGACTCAAGTGCTTGAGAATAGTGTAGCCATTGGCGGGACTCTCCTGTGGATTATTTGTGATACCAGCTTCTTCTGTGTATATTCTCCAGTAAATATTGGAGAATCCATCCTAATATGACGCGTCAGCATGGACGTGAATGTACTGTAAATATTACGATACTCACAATAAGATGTATGTTGGTGTTCGCGCCGCCAGGGAAGTCCATAATTCAACGGTCGCGGACAGCCCCGGAGGCCTTTAAAGATAGAAGAAATTTTGAAGCTGACTCTGGAAGTCATTTCCAATCGCAGGTTGCATGGTTTGTGGCAAGGTGTGAAAGCGCATAGCAGAGAGGTCAACAAGCAGCGGATACATTAGCTGATTGATACCATATTGCGCGGGATGAAGTGATCAACAAAAGACTAGGACGTCTGGCACAAAAGTCTTATTCAAATGAAATCAGAGCACCAAATGAAACAGCAATGATTTCAACAAGGCTTATCGCATGAAGTCAACAGAAAGTTGAAATGCGTAATTCCGGGGGACGTTCGCCAGGGACACTCGGGCCAATCACCGGGTCCGTTTATCACGTGATCGCTATCAGCGGCTTTTTATCGCAGTTTTTTTTTTTAATCTTTTGCAGGTTTGCTTTCGCTGACACCGATAGGTTGCAAATAAGTTGCAGATCAGCTCAGATCAACTGGCTTGGCCTTCTTTGCACCAGAAAATACCAGCATGAAGCTGTCTAATCCGTCCGAGGTCCCGGTATATACCATCTCGGGTTCAGACAGCGCTCGCCCGCTTCCCGAATGGCTTGCTAGACGGCGAAAGCGCAGCTTGAAAAATGACCCCGAGTATGCCAATCGAGTTGAATTACTGCAAGACTTTGAATTTGAGGAAGCAAGTCACTGTATCCGAGTCAGTGAGGATGGAGAATGGGTTATGAGCACAGGTTCGTACTAGTGATCTTCAACCTTTTCTTGAGGCGCATACCCTAACACCATTGCTTGCAGGAACTTACAAGCCACAAATCCACACCCACTACCTTCCGCAATTGTCCCTTTCATGGGCGCGTCATACAAGTTCGCTCAACACCACGTTCATCTTACTATCTTCCGATTACACCAAGTCCCTCCACCTCCAGTCTGATCGATCTCTCGAGTTCCACACTCCCTCAGGCTGTCACTACACCACCAGACTTCCCCGATATGGACGTGACATTGTCTACGACCGCCAGTCGACTGAAGTGCTTGTTCCTGCAGTTGGTGTTAATCGAGATGGCATGGGAGAGGTATACCGATTGAACTTGGAGTTAGGCCGATACATGCGGAGTTTTGAGGTTGACGTCGGAGGTGACGATTTTACATCCACGGGTGGAGGAACTCTCCAAGGTGGAATCAACACAGGGTCGGTCAACACCGGTGCTATTGCGGAGCAGAGTCACAATTTGTTGGCCTTCGGAACTTCATTGGGAACAGTTGAGCTATGGGATCCTAGGGCTAAGGGACGCGCGGGTGTACTGTCTACACCCGCACAGGTTGGACCACACGATGAGCGATCAGAGATCACAGCTCTGGAATTCAATCGCTCCGGCATGAGCCTTGGAACCGGCTCGTCTAATGGTCTCATTCACCTCTATGATTTGCGTTCGCCCGTTCCCTTCCAGGTCAAGGACCAAGGATACGGATTCCCTATTCACACTCTCCAATTCCTCGAGCAATCGTCTGCAACACAAGCTGCGACAATCGAGCCCAAATTGCTCTCGGCCGATAAGCGCATCATCAAGCTCTGGGATATTGAAGATCAAAAGCCTTGGACCTCTGTTGAACCGGCTGTGGATCTCAAGTCTGTTGCTTGGTGCAAGGACAGTGGCATGCTCCTCACAGCCAATGAAGGCCGACAACAGCACTCATTCTTCATTCCGCAGCTTGGCCCCGCGCCGAAATGGTGCTCATTCTTGGACAACCTGGTTGAAGAGATGGCTGAGGATCCCAATGACCCCAGCGCATTCAAGTCTGCTCAGTCTGGTTCTGTCTGGCCCGGTTTCACGCTTGTGCCTAGTGAAGAGGTCGCGAAATGGGACGCCAAGCTCATCAAGGCAGGCGGAGAACCCATTGATTTGGCATCCTACATGCAGTCAGGAAAGATGGTACCTTACTCTAAGGGTTACCAAGTGTCGAACTTTGTTTATAACTCTATCACCGGGTTGTTCCCCGACACAGAAAACCCCAGAGCGAAGAAGGTGGCCGAAATTATGAACAAGGAGCGGGAGAGCCGCATCCGCGGCAAGAAGAAGGTTGCTGTCAAGGTGAACAGGAGACTGGCCGAACGGATGCTGAACGCGGAGGAGAAGAGGGAGCGCAAGCATGCCAAACGCCTGTTGGAAGGCTCGGGCGACCAGGAAATGGTCGATGCTGCTGCAACCACTCCTTCTGCTGGCGAGGATAAGGCTGTATTGGGCGGTGGCCGCTTCGCCCAGCTGTTCGAGGACCAAGATTTCGCTGTCGACGAGACTTCACGCGAGTTCCAGTTGCTGAACCCCAGTACTGTTCCCCAGGCTGCTGCCCCATCAGCTTCGAGAAAGGAGCGTGGCTTGACGGCAGTCGAGCAAGAAGCCGTCGACGACGTGCCCGGTTCAAGCTCCGACTCCGACTCCGACAGCGAGGCGGAAAAGCCCGTGAAGGCAGCAGCTTCCAAAAAGATCTCTTCTGCAGACTACAAGCGGACGAAGCGGCCTCCACCTCGTATGCAGGTGTCTTCCTCGAATCAAGCCAACTCCACCAGAGACCGCTCCTTCGGCTCCCGTGCGCAGAATATGAAATCGAGACAAAAGCCTGCACGACGGGTTGGTGTAGTCGGCGAGCAAGAGATGAGCTTCAACCCGGCCGGGAAGCCGAAGCGCGCTGCCCCAGAAGTACGCTACGACAAGACCGACACATCCTTCCGGGCCAAAGAACGCCGCAGTGCTTCTGGCAACACTTTCCGCAAGATGTAATATGTCTCGCCATTTTTGGCCTATTCTTGTGCCATTTCCTTGATGCCATTTTCTTGACACCATACAATCTTGTCCAGCCAAGAAGGCTCCTCGCCCAAGGTCTAAGAACCATGCATCCTCTTGACCTTTTCGCCTCCCACCCATTGGGTAAAGCCTTTTTACGGGCACACCTGTCCGCTTCTGGCTGAACCCTGCCGAACACCAGGGCCAATCTCATTGGCAACCTTTATTGCTCCCATCTGCAATTAGGCGCTGTGCGAGGTGCTCCTGTGTTGATCCCAGGGCCACATCTTTTGAACCTACGGCAACTTTCTCAATACCCTATTTGCACACTATCTCACCATCATAGACAGCTTTGGTGTGACGCCCGAGAATTCAAAGCTCTGGTGCACATATTTTTTTCTGAATGACCACTGTATCTTAATGTCTCAAAAGCGATGCCAAAAATTTTGAATATCATTCAGCTATTTTTTTTACTCTGCTCTTCAGACACCCTTCCAGGATTATACCTAATAGTTGATGGCTCTAGACCCGGACTCAACATACATACAAGTGGAGACTCATACCACAGGGCAAAATATTTCTAGCTCGCACCAGTAGACTAATGTTGATAGAACGTATAGAATCCCATTTTCTCTCTTCCCATCTTCGCATTCTTCAATACTCTCCACTTCTCTACTCGCATACACATACAATCCACTACCACAGCTTAGGAAAACATAAATTTTTACTGCTATCTTCATATTAACTGTACTAGAAAAGCATTGGAACTTGAATGACCCGTTGAAATGCCTCTAGTATAGTACTCTGTATTGAAACACCTGCCTAATTGGGACCTGTCGCATGTATGATACACAGTAGCCTTTTTCTTTTCTTAGCTCTTTATGTGGGCTTGGACTGCGAGAAAATAAACTTGTGTTTGTACTTTTGTCGTACTCGTATTCTCGCACTGCCATTCCAGTGGGTCCGTGGCGCAACAAACAACAGCACTTCAATGTTTCAGTCCCTTCAATGTTGTATCCCACCTGGGCAGTATCACCTTAGTCTGCGTGAAATGCCGCGCATAAGTGCTAGCAACTTCGGGATACTTGTAAAAAGCTCGGGGACGCCCGGAATTCCAACATCATCAAATAGTGTCAGACCAAGAAACAGAACAGAATATAGCTCCCTCTGGGCCATAAATAGAGACTGTGGCTTTTGTTGTGGTCTAGTGGTAAGATACGCTATATTTTCCCACGAATAGAAACTATATTGCCTAAACTCCCTGCATCTTTAATCCTAACGGGGCCCTACTAAATATATTTTGAAACAAAGGGCTCTAATAGAGAATATAGCGCTGACGGAATATGTGATGGAAAACAGGTGTCGTCTTCCTGATTGGCTAAGCCTTTTTCCTAATTAGGTAACTAAATTCTTACACCTGGGCAAGTCTTCCTCAGCTTTTTACAAGTCTCACCGAGTTGGAACCCGTACACACAATAATTGCAAGCTAGTATTTACCAAGATTCACACCATATTACTGGGTTAAAAACTAGCTATGACAAAATATCGCCTGGTTTATAAAGCCGATTTCGATCAATCTATGCCCCTCGGATGTGGATAGCTTTGTCTAGCTGGGTGGCTTGCAAAACGGTCTTACATACTAATTAACTTAGACGCTTCTTATATTGCTGCCTTATGCTGGTGGTCAGCATGAATCTACTGGAAAGGGGATTCCTTACATTGCTGCCTTAATGCTGATGGTCTTGCATGAATCTACTGAAAGAAGACTACTTATATTGAAGATTGGCCTTACGATACTCTCAAAATAAAAAAACAATCTTTGCATCGTTCGAAAGCGCAAGAGAGTCACTACTCAGATTGCTTGATGCGCCTCAATCTTTTCTTCCATTCCTTTTCCAAACTACAATATGGAGATGATCTATTCAGTCGATATGGCATCCATTGATAAAAGCCCTGCCTTGTTGGTTGGATTCCTCCAATCCTTCTTGCGTGATTCGATTTTTCCTTCCCTATTATCTTTATTCTATCTCTTTTGCACAGGCTCTTTGTTCTTTGATATGATCCATTATATGCTGCATCGAAGCAACAAATCGTCTCATCCTCTTCTCCGATGTCTCGCACGTATTCACCGTTTCCATCACCTCTATTTTACTCGGCATATGAAGTTCGACGACAAATATCTCTGGCAAAATCTGGTTCAAGCGCTGCCGCTTGAGTTAGGGCTTCAAATCTTTGGGACCGCACTAGGATATGTCTTTGCTACTTCGGTGACTCCTATTGGCCATGTCTGGATAACACAAAGTCACCTGTGGTCTATGATTGGCATTCAAATATTCAAAACAACTTTTGTTATGCTCGCAAGTGGCCGGGACTCGAATCATTTGGTATACAAAACCGCCCCCAAAGATCCTAACTGGATATTTGCTGGCCCAGAGTACCACGCCCTCCATCATGTTTACCCAGATCGTTATATTGGTTCATTCATCAAACTATTCGACTGGGTATGGGGTACTGCGTACTCCTTTCGAGGGAAACGCTTCGTGATCACGGGTGGAAGCGGAGCCTTTGGCCAAGCTATTGTGGCAGAGCTTGAACAAGAAGGAGTACAGAGCATCCGCTGTTTGAAGTTCGGTGTTGATTGGGACCATCAGCACTTTGAAAAGGCTACCGCAGCACTTTCTGCGTGTGACGTCCTCATCCTAGCCCACGGCACCAAAGGCCAAGATACAGTGGAATCGAATTGCAATTCAGCAGTCCAACTGGTGCGACTATTTAAACAGAACAGATCTTTCAACGAAACCAATCCGACACTCCCAGAAGTGTGGTACGTTGGTAGTGAACTTGAGTTACTTCCATCCTTTGGAAATGAACAGCTACAACGTTACTCCGAGTCAAAACGGCTCTTTCTCCCACATGCTCGTTCTTTCTTTGACAACCCTGATATACTTTACCGCCATATTGTCCCGTCCTCTTTTCGGTTACCCATGGGGCCAGTTATACTCCCAGCAGGCTGGGCAGCTAGGTGTGCAATGTGCTGGATCCGGAGAGGTGCCCGATATATCCCTGTTACTTATACGGGAATTGCATATTTGAACTACTTCAAGTTTATGCATTGGGTTCCCTACGCGCAGGATACAGATAAAGTGTGAGTAAGCAATCAAATCACACAAAAGCTATTGTTGTTCTATATATTTGTTATTAAATATTTTTAATGTTTGCGTTTCAGCCCGTCTATAGCAATCTATCATCATGCATCCATGCATTTCTTTTTTTTATCTGAAGCGGTCTTGGTAGTGATAAGTAGAACTCTAACCTAAAAAGCGGATTGTTGTGTCGGACATCCTAAATTTCAGCATGCGACTTCACAGAGGGGTTTTACAAGTCTCGGGGGAAGCGTGAGACTTATCCTGCTGCACTTAATACTAGCTGGTACACTTTTCACAGATCATCTATTCCATCGTATTTCCCCCTTTGTCTTACGCAAATTCTTCTTGTTTGCAGCCACTTGTCTGCTATCCTAGCTATGTATTATACTTGGTATGATGACTAGGATAAAAAAAATAGACATTCTAGCAACTATTCGCAAACATGCCAGAGTTGTCCATATCCTCCTCCTCGAGATCTTCAAAAAGTGGCATAAACTTCTCGTTCTTAGCCTCAGTTTGTTCAGGAACAACATTACCCTCCTGAACCTCACAATACTTAAGCACCGAGTCATTGCCAATATAACTACGGCTCCCAACTACACATCCAGTTAGCACACACCTTTCTCCAATCACAACGTTATCAAGAATGACGCATCCCGTGATTCGAGCACCGCTGCAGATTTTAGAGTTTGGGCCAATACACGATTCCTTTATAACAGAATGTCTCTCGACAATCACATTGGATCCAAGGACACAGTCGGTCTTCGAAATAAAACAGTTCGAAGTCACACATTCAGGGGAGGCAATCTTTCGGTCGTGAGCGAACGGGGGTTGAGTGGCTGTATGGCCGACCTCTTCAATGGATTCTAGTTTGGCTAAACGAAGGGAGGTAGATAGGAGAAGGCCAGGATTGTCAACACGTCGGATAAGTGGCGTAGATCCTGTATGCAAATATGCCAGCAGAGGTGGTACTTCCGGGATGTCGTTCCGTGGTGGTTGGTGGGTGATAGTGCTCAATTCCCGGTAGTCGTTCTCTTCATGGCTTTCTTTTTGCTGGCTCAAACAAGGATCCATTCCTAGCTTTTCATGCAGTCCCCGCTGCCATACAGATTTGGCCCAGAGTCCAATGAGATCTTCGCTAATGGACACTAGTCTTTCCTGACGGCGTGCAAGATCCCTAACCCAGTAGGGGAAAATGTAGAGGTGTGCGTCGCGGTAGCCAGCCAACATCTTGGCTTGTGTGGTTTGTCGTTTCGCAAAGGAACGACGAAGAAGGAAACCTTTATCACGTTCCAGGTTTTCTTTCACGGTATTCATCCCCATAGACATGAGCAATTTTGATAGCCCGTGACTTGATCTTGCAGGTATCTCGGCCTGCCGAAGTGGTTCAACAGCTATCAGATCCAAAGCCTCGTCCTTTACGGCATCTTCCGCACGATAATACACACAAAGACCGCCTCGGCGGTGCCTTTCTCCCTCGGCCATTACGCTCTGACCTTGAGACGCCATCCATATCTGTAGCAAATATGTGCCCTCGATTTCACAGACGAGATCGCAAGGCAGGAGGAAAAAATCGGATTCTATGCAAGATTGCACCTCGGGAAGGCGAAGCAACTGTGCTGTTGCCATTGCTGCTTGAAGGTCTTGAGGGGCGATGACTTTTGGCACAGGAAGCGATTTCAGATAAGGGTCTTGCTGTAAGGCAGATTTGATATGAGCAAGGGCAGAGGGAGGTGTGATCAGTGTGACATCTGAAACAATTAGTAAACCCTCGTAATGACCCAAACGCAATTTGAGGACCGAATGGTCTCCAACTTACCACTGATATTTGATATCGTGCAGAACTTTAGCGGGTAATATATCATCGGTCTGTTAGCGATTAGGGCAAGACATTTCGGGGTCTTCTCTTGATCGAGAAGAGTCCCAAATGATGTCCCAGGGCCGCATAGAATCAGAGCTTGAAGCCCAGCTTTAGGCAGAGGAACCCCCATCGTCTTGTTGATGAACTATAGCGCGATTCCTCAACACTTGTATGGTAAGAAGGCTGCTGAGAAGATAATCAATTGAATGATGAACACCGTTCTAAAATAAGACTACATATCCCCGGTCTTTATACAGATGGGGACACTGCTAAATATATACGACGAAAGCCTCGATGTGTATTTACTTCTTTGTTGTTGGAGGTGGATCAGATGAAAGAGAAGTGGATCAAAGAAGCCCTACCTAGAGGGCCCTGGGCCGCCCCCATGAAAGTTACATAATCACCGATATGCCGAGGTCCGCGCGGAGAACTTTGGGACATTCTTGTTATATCAAGCTTGGAAGCGTAAACAAATCTATTGTAGAACCACGCTTGAACCAAATCCGACCATCCCATCGGAAAAAAGAAAATGGCCACCCCAGAGTCCGTAGCCAAGAGGCAACGCAAGCGCAGCGACTATGGCTTCCACCAAGTACACCAGACCCGATGGTCAGTACCAGGACCTCACGAGCGCTCACCAACCATACACCGACACTAACATCCACACCCATAGGTTCGACAACGACATGTACGCACACCTAAACAACGCAGTATACACGCACCTGTTCGACACAATCGCGAACACGTACTTAATCCAACACTGCGGCATGGACCCCTTCAGCGTGAACAACCCAACCCCAGCGCCGACACACGGGCAGCCCTCCAATTTCCCCTCCCCATCGAACCTAGCAGCTGGTGCCGACCAAATAGGTCTGATTGTGTCGACACACGCCGATTTCTTCGCGTCGGTGCGCTTCCCGGATCTGCTGGAGGTCGGGCTGCGTGTTAATAGGCTCAGCAAGTCTAGCGTTACCTGGGAAGTGGGTATTTTCCGTAAGGATGAGGAGGATGTTAAGATGGTTGGGACTTATACCCATGTTTTTGTGTTGAGGGAGACTATGCGGGTTGGGAAAACGGGGATGGAAGAGCGGACTAGGCAGGGCTTGGAGAAGTTGCTTGTGAGATCTGAGGCGAAATTGTGAAGGGGATAGAATGTGAATGTTGGGCGCTAGGCTAGGCTTGTACATAGTTTTCTATCGGAATATAGGTAGCCCCTTACATTCCAAGGCGGTCGTATAATTTTCGCGTGATTCTTGAGGGATTCTAGACTTGAGATTGATCAAATGATCACTGTAGGAATTCAAGAGAAATAAGCGAGATCCATGGATATAGCTCAGCAAAACGCCCTATCTTTATTGGTATGGTATTGATCGCCTTGGGAATGTGAAACGCCGATGTGAAGAAAAGACAAAAACGTGCGCCGTGTAGATCAAGTAGATCATCAAAACCCCTGAATCATTAAAAGTCTAATCTAACCTGAGATCTATGAGACAAAAAGAAAATCGAAAACATATCCATCGCCTTGACATAAAAACCGAAGCCAAAACTTTTGTGGGTTATCATAAGAATAAAACAGACACGCTAAATCGCTTCGCAATATCGAAAAAGCGCCAACAGAATAGGTATACATGTATGATGGAATTTCCAATCATTATTAGAAGGATTGTCATCTGACAACCTCAGGAGTTGTGATTTGAGGAGGTGAGGTGCTCAGTCAAATTTACCAGCGATGATACTGCTGCAACGGGACACGTTGGCACTGGTGGGAGGCGAGGCACCGCGGTGCATGGTGTATCCATCTTCATCGAGCCACCACTTGGGGTAAGGGCCAGGAATGAAGCTTCCCTGGGCGTCCCAGCCAGCGACCCAGTGAATGCCGTCGTCGAGGAGGAAAAAGCGCAGCTTTTCCGGACGGCCCCCCTATGCAGTGGGGCATCGAACCAGCGGCAGCGTTCTTCCAGTTCGGATTCAAACATGTAACGGTGGAGGATGCGGCAATAGACCAGCGCAGCAGGGAATTTTTCATCGTTTTCGCACCCATCCCGATGGACGAGGTGCCATCCGCGACCCGGGAGGAACTTGTATGTTCCCGGGACGGGGGATTCCCAGTGTTGTTCTTTGAGATTGCTGTCGCGATCGCCCTTCTGGAACCAGTAGGTAGGGCAGAAGATGGCGCGCGCACAGAGGAAGAGGTTGGGGGCCATGATTGAGGATTGTATCAAGATCAAAAGGGTATGTGCAAGGATAACTCCACGAAAATCGGGGGAGAAGTCCAAGTTGATATAGAAACAGCACTGGAGTGCAAAGAATCTGAAGGGCTAGAGCGGGCTATAAGTCGACAGCCATGGCGCAAAATAATAAAATATCAATCGGTCAAAATCCAAGTTGAGATAGGAATTTGACGGGTCTTCGTTCATGAAAGCTCGGTGAATGACCCCTGAGAACTTTTCGGGAGACAAAGAATGTGGAACGGCAAGCACACTTGGCACGGGGTTGTAATCTGAGGCAAGGACTGGTTGGGAATGTCCAATTCAAACAGCACTGGCCAGACAGCAAGGTGTGTTTGTTATCGATGCGGTGAGTAGGGGTTGTCGTGTTTTCAGTCGGGAAAAGGGGCTCGTGATAAGCTTGCAGTTTTGAACCTCCGAAGGTACAGCTTCTTGATAACGGAAAATGAGGATGGTGGGAGGGAGGCGAATAGGGAGAGGTGAAAAGAGCTTGGGCTTGCAGCAATCGGCAACACGCAGTAGCACGCACATGCACGGCCGGCCGGTGTTAGAGCTCAATAAGAGCGTGTGCTATAGATAGGGCATTTGACTGGAGGAATGTCGCCATGGTGATTTGAGGAAGATATATATAAAACGTAGAAATCGAGAATGTGTGTTTGGATATATTTGGCGGTCAGATGGTGGAACAAGGAAAAAGTTAATCGACCCGCTCTTTACGCCTTTTGGCCCAGCAGGTTAAGCCACAACTGGCAGTGGCTCTAGACCTCGGGACTTTCCCGTACTTGCCCGCCGCCTTGGAGTGGCTGAAATGGCTAAAAATGTGGATTATCTTACCGCTGACCTGAGAGATTTTCACGTGGACCCTGCCGAGCCTTGGCAGTCCCATCGTTTGGCTTGCGTTTTTTTCTTCTCCCCTTATTGTCCCTTTTAGGGCTGATCCCTTTCCCTTTCAGCGTCATGGCTTCCCCAACCGCAGTCGACGGGCTCCGCGGGAACTTTCTGACTCTTCTGACTCAACATTATAAAGCTCAATAAAGCCTCGACCACTTGGCACACATTCCCGGCGGGAAATTTCTAGGCTACAGAATTCTTCGTGGCGCAGTTGTTCTCGGGGTTCAGCCCTATGCTATGTTTCTCGGCATTATCCTAGCTTGCAAGGCTGGCCGAGTTTTATTCTAGCCTGGTCTATTTGAAGCTGATGGTCTAAGTAGTTTGTCATTCCTCATCGAAGTGTTATTTTTTACGACTTTGGATTTTCTGTGATATATTAACCTCGCTATGACCAGCATAGCTGATATATGGTGTGATGACTGCATGCCGCACGTTTACAATCCATCACTATCCAGGCTTAAAATATCCCTGTCCATGCGTAATCCCAACCCCGACTTGACGTACCAACAAACCAGAAATCATTGCTTTGCCACCTGGTCCAGAGCCTCGCAGCTACAGGCGATCGCCAAGCAAATCCTTGCCAAATTTGCAATATGACATGACGCACGGCGTTTTTGATAATAGAAACCATTTAGTAATAATTGGAGGGAAAAAACGAGTGTTTCACAAAATTAGTCCGGTGCTAACCCATTGGTGCAAGATAATGTGACACCAATTTCTTTGATATCCGAACCTTAATGCTTTTTTGTTTTCATGCCCTCGAGCCCCCTTGAGTCATTGGCCTTCTTTCAAACTGCCCGGGGTAGATTTGTTTTATCTCATTCACTTGATTCGCCTATATGGCTGCCGTCAGACCTTTTCGCTATCCTTACACGGGCCAAGCTTACACGGAGCTCGTCAAGTTACGTACATAGTCAACTGAGCTTCATTGGTGACCTACCGTGTAGGCCGATACGATATAGCATTAAGCCTATGTGCCCCTTTGGACAGTGTTCCAACCGGAAACTCTAGATCAAGTACGGAGTATAAAGAGGGATTCTAGAACACCACGACACTAGGGCAATAAGGGATTCTTAGCCGACAGAAATCACTAGGACGTATCTAAATAGAATCAACCAGTCTTCTGGCTTACTCTGTATTACTTTTGCGGCCAACTCTACATATACAACTTAGAGCTGTAGGTGTTGTAATGAGTACACAGAGGACACTAATACGTACCGGATTTAAACGAGATGACGCGAGAAAATATGCCATTTGGAGATTCCCGCTCGACTAATCTCATACTTGGACGTGAAGTTGATCCAAGGGGGAAAGGCGATGGGGATAGACGATCTGTGAAAAGTTTACCAGCTGGTATTGAGTGCAGCAGAATAAGTCTCACGCTTCCCCCTCGACTTAAAAAGCCCCCTCGGTGAAGTAGCATGCTGGAATTTAGGATGTCCGACACAACAATCCGGTTTTTAGGTTATAGTTCCACATATCACTGGCAGACCCGAGCAGCCCGGAGATAGCGATCGCTTTAGGTGAATGTGCTCATCATCCCGTATGGGTAATTTGACAAACTTTCCGCGGATCGAAGGTTGACGGTGTATCTTCGAGCCTCGATGAGCCGGCGGGCGAGTATACACAAGACCGCCCAGGCAAAGAGCGCAATCACGGCGTAGACGAGGATGAGGAACAGAACATGTGGCACGCGCCGGAGGGTGTTGGAGGGGATTCGGTCTGTCTCGGTCTTCTCTTCACTTGACAATCTCTCCCTGTCCCTCATTAAGGACTGAGCAGATGGGGAGTCATCTTTCGGATCTGATCCTCCTGTCATGACTCGATGTTGGCCCTCGAAAATTGCTTAAAGAGAGAAGACATATGGTCGTCTGGGACGAGAAGCATTCTTTATGTCGATGCTTGTGGCTAAAGGCCATAAGTAGTCAACTCATTATGCTTGAACTATGGAGACTTGCCCCACACAGGCGACCGTTAGCGCCCCCGAAACTCGGCCTCCTGAGCCTATACAAAGTACACCACATTTGGCCAATCTTAGTAATTCCAGGTCCTGCGATTTTATTCTGCTCAAAATGGCCCGTATAGGATTCGCTGGAGTGCTTTGGGAAACTAGACCGGCGTGGAGTCTAGCGGGCGATGACCGTTTTTTTAATATAGGGGGACGTATATATATCTTGTCTCTCATCTAACTTAATGAGGAAAAACATGCAAGCCGGCAGCTATTAATGTCATTACTGGCTTTGTGCTGGCTTCAAATTGGCATAGTTGGCGAGGTGAATCTACTCCTAGGTACATAGGGGCTATGTCCCGAGGTCTATGACTCTTCTGAGTACGTCGCGGCAAAATGTCATTTCGCCGAACCGTTGCAAGTCCATCAGAACTTTTTCCCGAGATCACAGATCGAATATAAAAACCAACCCCAATGTAAAAAGTATTGAAATTTGAACCCATTCATTTCATCATGTCTCTCACCTTCGAAAATATCCCCCTCACAGTGGAAGGGGTCAGCCTCAATCTATCAACGATCCATAAACTCAACTCAAAACCACCAATTCTCTTCCTCCACGGCTTCGGCTCCAGCAAAGAAGATCTCGCCGATGTGACCATCCAACCATCTTTAAAGCACCATGGCTTCATTGCCTACGACGCCCCCGGCTGCGGCCACTCAGCAAGCAACAACCTATCCGCAACAGACATTCCGTTCCTTGTGGCGACTGCCGAAACTTTGCTCGCGCACTTCAAAATAGACAAATTCCATCTGATGGGCCACTCAATGGGCGGGTTGACAGCCCTCATACTCGCAAACCAGAATCCAGACCGTGTCCTCAGCTTTGTGAATATCAAAGGCAATCTCGCACCAGAGGATTGCTTCCTCAGCCGCCAGATCTTCATGTTCCCAGCTGATGACGATGATGCATTCATGGATGCATTTATTGAGCGCACGCGCACATCGGGCTCGTTTGCCAATGCGATGTATGCTAGTACCCTACACGCCCGGGTCCGGGCTGGTGCGGTTCGGCCTATTTTTGAGTCTATGGTGCAGTTGACTGATCATGGGGACTTGATGGATAAGTTTTTGGCATTGCCGTGTCCGCGCATGTTCATGTTCGGGGAGGAAATGCGTGGCTTGTCGTATCTGCCGTTGTTGGAGAAGGAGGGTGTTGAATTGGCCGATATTGTGGGCGCTGGGCATTTCCCTATGTATTCCAATCCCATAGAGATGTATCGCCGCATTTCGGGGTTTTTGGATCGGGGCGCATAGTGGAATTTATACCATAAATAGAATTAGAGGTAAACATAAAGATAGACATAGATGCCGAGAGAGATTTGCTCCTGAATACTTCATCGTTTGTGAGAAGCTTTTTTGGCCTCAGGCCAGAAAAGCTGTACATAATTTAGGAAAGAACGATCAAGTGCTATCACTCCGAATGCCACCTGGGTATTGACGGATATTTACATAAAAGAATCATCAACTCGTTAACTTTGACTCGGCTCAACTCACCTCCGAGTGCGGCATTTGAACAGTGGCCTGCAGCATGTGCTCCAGGCACATTGCATTGCACGATGTGGCAAAGTTCATTCACAAAGCCATTGTGACCTAGATACATAGTAACTTCGATCAAAATGACTAGCTAAGGCTTATATACAGATTTGAAACCGAGCTCCAGAAAGCGTATCGCCAACATATTCCAAAATCTCTTTATCTGGTCGCACGATCCTCAGTTTCAACACCCTGCACTTCCTTATGATCTGAGGTAACAGCGCCATCAAATGAAAGCTTCGTTTCGTCTGAAGTTTCAATATCACGTAATCTGCCAAAGGCATGGAACTTCTCGAAGAGGACGTCCATCTCCTCGAGAGAGCGACCCTTGGTTTCCCTAACCACGAGGAAAACCCAGAAAGCCATGGCAAAGCAGAAGCAACCAAACATGATGAAGGTTTGCCAGCCAAGGTTACCGATTGCCGCGGGAGTGACATAAGTCACTACAAAGTTGAAGAGCCATTGTGTTGCCGATCCGCAACCAACACCGTACGCACGAAGGCGAGTTGGGAAAATTTCAGAAATGTAAACCCATGGAATCGGTCCCCACGATGCAGAGTAGCCAATGACGTAGAGGTAAATCATGACAATCATAGCGAGGGATGCAGACGAAATACCACCGTTACCGCTAGGGTCCGGAGGATAGGACACCAGAACACCACCCAGGATGAACATCATTGTGCACATCCAAATGGCTCCAGCAATAAGAGACCACCGCCGACCAACCTTGTCGATACCAATGATGAGGAAGATTCCGGTGGTCACTACCTTGACGATACCATAGATACCGGTTGTGAACAGACTCGTGTTGCCTCCGGCCACTCCAACGGTCTGGAACAGCTGGGGGGCATAGTATCCGATACTGTTGGTGCCGGTCCACTGCTGCCAGAACATCATCAAGAAACAGTTGACAAAGCGAATGCGGTTGCCAGGTAGGAATGGTTCTCGCCAAGTAAGTCCCTGGGTTGATTCAACTTCGTGTTCAACGGCCGCTTTGATTTCCGCCATCTCAGTTTGGACCGCAGGGCTCGTAGTTGGCTCGGAGCGCATATATGCAAGAGCTTCAAGAGCTTCCTCAAAGCGATTTTCTTTGGCTAACCAACGAGGAGATTCGGTCAAAAAGAACAAGCCGATCATCATAAGACCACCGGGCACAAGCTGGAATCCAATAGGGATGCGCCACTGTTTGGTTGTGGGGGCGACGGTTTCTGCCACACCATAGCAAAGCCAGTATGCAACGGTGACACCAATAACGAGGAATTCCTGGAAGAGACCAGCAATACGGCCACGAATCGCCGGTGGGCAGTTCTCGGACACGAAGACTGGAGTGATAGCTGACATGCCTCCGATTCCGAAACCTGCAATCACCCGTCCACCGTACATATATGATAGCGCGCCGGTAGCGGCGGTTTGGACAGCAGAGCCGATAAGGAAGAACATCAGAAATCCCATGATGGAATAGCGACGGCCAAACTTCTCGTTGACGAAGGAGGCGCAGATAGCGCCGAAGAAACATCCGGCAGTGAGAAGTGAAACGACATTCGATGAGACTTTAGCATTTTTGGCATCTGAGAAACCAGAACTTCCACTTTGAAGTCCAAAATCAGCCTTGAAACTTGGAAGTTCCAGCACACTTCCCATCACACCTGTGTCATATCCTTTTCGGGAAATTTATTAGCATAAGGCGTTTGATAGCCAATGAGAGAGAGATTTATCTTACCGAATAGGAATGAACCCGTATACGCCACCGTGGCGAGCACGTAGACGCGACTATTCTTGAACATACCCATTTTGCAGTTCAGGCTCCCAGAGTATGAAGTTAGGGAGAAAGGTTTCGGGGCAAGAAGAACTAGGTATATAAGGCCCTAGAATGATAGAGCACAGACACCCCGCGGCCTCCGCATACCCAAGTAATGTATCTTCATAATTTCAATTCTGGGGAATCAGAAGGGGGTAAAGCGTACCCCAGATTCATCGTACCATGGGGTTCAATTGCCGACATGTGGAGTATCGTGGAGAAATGAACATTGCTGTTTGGCCCATCCAGCTGCATCCACCTCCATCCACCTGCATGAAAATGTCAATGGAGAAATTATATCCACGGATAAATAAGGTTACATCCATTCCCGCTAGACGAAAGGAGGAAAGTATGGCGGAGCCCCGGCGAAGTAGCTCGGCAAAAGGCCTGGACTGTCTATGATAGCCGGCGAAATTGGTTATTCGCATTCGCCGACACGCTTGATTGACATTCTCTTCTTTCCTCTCACTTTCTTCCAACGGTTCACCTCCAAAGCAAGCACAGTATTCCTTCATGCTTCTTTGTGGTGGCTAACCTTAGTAGGGACTGGACTTGAAGTGCCAATCCTTGGCATCACCTGCCAAGCCTCCGGGGGTCGCCCTCCCATGAAGCCGGTCAATTGCCGATACCATCCCACACGGGCACCGACACGGCTATATACTGAAATGTGAAATCATTGGCTCGGACTCGGATGGCTCGTACGGCTCGGATTACCGGCATTACGCTGTTCATTATCCCGCATTTAGCGTGGTTGATTTCCCCACATAACCGGTTTGAACCTCAATGGTTATGCCGGGGTTCCCAGCGCTGCGCAACACGCTGATACTTAACAATGTTTAACAGCATCACGCAGAACCATACACTCATTCAACTGATTGGTCTTGCACCGGAAGATATCTTGCCACGGCGTTTAACATTAAGGCACAGAGAACCCACCTCGAGCCTTAAGACCCTCATAACAACGCTGGAGTTCCTCATCTCCAATCAAAATATTAACATGACGCCTATTCAAATGCACTCGTAACCGATCACCGCCACGAAGAAGCGCCAGGTTTCCACCAGCTGCTGCTGCTTCAGGGCTTGCATTCAGGATAGAAGGTGAGCCAGGCGTACCGGACCAGCGGCCGTCATCGATGCAGGCATGCAAGGTAATTCCCTGCCGCAATAGCCGTGCTGGGGGGTGCATGTGGCCACGTCTGCGGCGACCGGGTAGCCCAGGGGACCTACGCCGCGCATAACCAGGATACTTCTATCGTCGGTTGGTGCCGCGGGTCGTCGAAACGGCTGTGCTAATCCTCGATTTGACCGAAGGCTAAGGAGTACACGACACCTTCTAATGCGTTGAGGCCGTTTGGATTCTCGAGGAATCTGCGCCGGAACGCCAGTGATATCATGCATGTCTTCATGATCGCTGAGTTGAAGAGAGTGCCTTTCAGATGCACGAATCCGGCTCCTTCATCATCGGCTTGGTATACGCTTGGATAATCTGCCGGTTCCAGGTGTGCTTGTCACGCAGGTTTTGCTCCACGTATTTTCCGTTACAGGTTAATGCATCTGGGCGTAGTTTTCCGGCGTCTAGTAACTCTGCCATGATAGCAGGGAGTCCGGCATCCCGGCCCCAGATTCTTTTCCCAGATTTGTGGCCTTGGGATAAGTTGAATATCTCTATTCATCCGAGGGACATTAGTACAAAGAAAACAGAGTAAACATGAATATACAATGTCCACCCGCTATCCACACTAATCCACTCATTCTATGAGTGCAATCGGTTTCATATGCCCTACGTCGATGTACATTAGTCTGCAATGTGTTTTCCTTGGAATCAAGAGGGTTGTTCTATTCACAAGTCCCCTATTAATACAGAGCCCCAGACGCCATCTATGCAAGAAGAATTCTACTGAGTTGCGCACTGCGCCGGTTCCTCGTCGTCTTCGTCGTCTTCCCATCCTGATGCGTCATGGCCATCCTGAGCACCGAATTCTTCCATCTGACCCTTGGGGTCGTATTCAACTTCATCCACGGTGTCGGTCTTAATAGGAGGGCTGGGTTTGGGCAGGATTTCCTTGAGCTTCTCCAACATCTCTGGAGTGGGCTTCCACTTGCTATCGGGGAACTTGACGTCAACAACCAAGTACAGGTCACCACGGGCATCGGTACGCTTCATGGGCATTCCCTCTCCGGGAACCTTGAGGACCTGTCCGGGTGAGAGGATAGCGCCGGCGGTCAGGGGGTGATTAAGCTCAATGCCACGGCCATCGAGGTGCTTGATCACGACGCGGGAGAAACCAGTCAAGGATTCAGCAAGAGTGACATCAATAATTGCGCGGAGATCCGAGCCGGCCCGTGTAAACACAGGGTGTTCTTCCTCGACGATTTTGAAAACAATGTCGCCGGGCTCTTGATCGGGCACCTGGTCGGCCTCGCCTTCCAACACAATCCTGTCTCCTTCCCTAGAGCACAGTAAGTATGTGATTCCGTTAGATAATAGAAAAAAAATGCCTTCTTACCTCGCGCCTCGGGGGATGTAGATCTCCAGGATCTTCTTCGCCTCCGTCGTTCTCGTGCCCTTGCACTTCTTACACTTATCCTTCGGGGCGAAGTATGAGCCCTCTCCGTTACATGTGGTACAGATAACCGTCTGCTGGGTCACGAACTGGCCCATGCGCTGCAAGACCTCCTTGTGGCCATGGCCACCGCAAGTCGAGCACTTTTTGGCAGTGGCCTTTTCCTTGCCACCCTTGCCCTTGCAGTGTCCGCAAATGATGTTCTTGACACTGGAAAACCTAACGGTCTTGCCCTTGTACAGATCCTCCAGGCTGACTTCGTAATCTTGCTCTTCGCTGGGGCTCTTGCGCGGTTTGTTGGGGCGACCACCGGGCATTCCTCCCATTCCTCCCATACCAGGCATCCCGCCCATACCCCCCATACCGCCCATGCCACCACCGAACATCTGCGCCAGCAAGTCATCGAGGTCAGGTTGTCCTGCCATACCGGGCTCACCCGAGCCGTTGAAGGCAGACATGCCGTGTGTGTCGTAGAGGTGTCGCTTGTCATCATCGTAGAGAATATCGTAGGCCTCCTGCACAGCCTTGAACCGGATTGAGGCTTCCTCGCGCTCGGCTTCGGGGACTTTGTCAGGGTGGTTGGTCAAAGCCGCCTATTGGAAATCCGACTGTCAGTATCAGTGGAATACGGAGACGATCGGGATTCGTCTTGCCTTGCGGTATGCCTTGCGGATGTCATCTTTGGTTGAGTTCTGATGGACCTCTAGGACCTCTGTATGAATGAATAACTGATCAATATGGTATTTCTTTATAGTTGATCCGCGCAAAACATACCGTAGAGGTCAACTCCAGCCTTAGCCACTGAGAACATTGTTAGTAGAGTCAAAGAAAACACGACTTTCCAACGTACTTATCAGTGATTAGTTTGTATAAAATACGATCGGACTTTTCTTCAGTAGAAAGAGGCCGTCAACTTGAGCCCAACAGCAAAAAAGAGAGGTTGGTGAACGAGAAGTGAGAGCGGGAGTTGTTTGATCCAAAGAAGTTGAGAAATTTTGTTCGGGAGCTCCGCGCCGCGACTCCGCAACTCCAGCAACTCCGCAACATCTCAAAGAGATCGGCCCTTCCTTTCTTTCGTTAAACACTTGGACTGTTTCGCAATGAGAAGTCCTCAAGGGCTATTTGCCAGGCGATCTTGGATCATTCAACGGAAAGCCTTTTCCTCTTCTCCTGCTGCTCAAGCACCTAATTCAAAGAACAAACTGCCGAATGGCCCTGCGCGCACGCGTTTTGCGCCCTCTCCCACCGGATATCTTCATCTAGGCTCCCTACGGACAGCACTCTTCAACTATTTGCTGGCAAAACGCACCGGTGGTCAATTCCTTTTGCGCATTGAGGATACGGACCAGGTTCGTGGGTTGCGCTCCATTGCATGGACTACGACTGATTATGGTAGAAACGGACGATTCCTGGGGCAGAACAGCGACTTTACGATGATCTACAATGGGCAGGATTAAATTGGGATGAAGGTCGGTTTGAAATATATACAAATATTGAGGACAATTGCTGACTCTCGCCTTGCTGACAGGTCCCGTCGTTGGTGGTCCTTATGGACCTTATAGACAAGTGAGACATCACTCCTTTGTCGCAAAGCAAATAATTCCTAACTCTCGTTCCCGCGCAGTCCGAACGAACAGCTTTATATCAGTCCCACGCCAATGACCTTATCTCCAATGGCCATGCATACCGATGCTTCTGCTCCGCAGAACGATTGGATTCGATCGCCCGTCACCGCAGCCAGGCAGGACTGGCGCCTGGCTATGACCGGAAATGCGGCGATGTATCTACCGAGGAATCAGAAGATCGAGCAGCCAAGGGGGAGGCACACATTATTCGATTAAAAGTGGAGGAATACCCCATGTTCAATGATCTGGTTTACGGCAAATCTGGTCAGAATCGACCGAACAACTCGAAGCTGGATTTCATCGACCGTGTATACAACGACCCAGTTCTTATCAAATCGGATGGACACCCCACATACCACTTGGCAAATGTCGTGGATGATCATTGTATGAAGATCACTCATGTTATCCGCGGAACGGTGAGTTTACTTACTATATTTGTGGCTATCAAGTCACAAGATGCTGAACTAACGTCTATCAGGAATGGATGCCATCTACACCTATGCACATGGCGCTATATAATGCTTTCCAGTGGACGCCACCAAGCTTTGCTCATGTCCCTTTGCTCGTCGACAAGAGTGGGCAAAAGCTCAGCAAACGCAACGCAGATATCGACCTCTCGTCATTCAAGGATCAGCAAGGGATCTTCCCGTCCACCTTGGTGAACTTTGCTTCGCTCCTAGGCTGGTCCCATTCCGAGAAGTCTGATGTGTTAAGTCTAAAGGAACTAGAACAGATCGTATGTTCCTCCCAGTCTCACGAGAACACCGTAATTGCACTACTAACAATGTCATCAGTTCAATCTGAAAATCACTCGGGGCAACACTGTCGTCTCCTTTGAAAAACTCCAGTTCCTCCAGAAGGCACATGTCCAACGTTTGGCCAAAACCGGTGGCCCCGAGTTCGACGAGATGGTGAAGAAGGTGACATCGGTGGTGGAAGAAAGCCAACCTCTTGACAAACTGTAAGTCGACCATCAGGTGTAAAGAACTCACATGTGGATTACATCGTACCCAATGACTGACACCTAGCAGCGCCACGATCCTCAAAGGTCGCGCTCTCTCCGAATACATCGCGCCCCTCATCCGCGCAGATGTCAACAACTACACAAATGCAAAGGACTTCGCCCAGCGTAACTCCATCTTCTTTACTCCGAAACTCAACAGAGCTCCTTACAAGCCGGCCTCACCACAGTCCTCCCCAGAAGTCCCAATCCAAGCCCTGCACACCGCAGCCGCCGCTTTAACCCTCGTCCCACCGGCAGCCTGGAACATCGACACGCACCGCGACAACATTAACAGCTACGATGGCTCGGAAAGCGTAGTCCCCTCCGCGTCTGAGTCAGAGACACCCGTTGGCTCCAATAACGCAGCCAAAATATTCAAGAAGGAGCTGTATCATTACCTCCGCTGGGCACTGTCGGCTTCTGCGCCGGGGCCTGGTATCTCAGAGACTATGGTAGTTCTCGGGAGAGATGAGACACTTCGCCGAGTGCAGGACGCCAAGGCGTTGACGCAGTCCCTTGTTCCTTCTGCTGGCCAGAGAGTTCCTAAGGGAAGTTTGCCTGAAGATCAGAGTTGGATGGGGACTCTTGCGACTAGCCGGTAATGTAGAATAAGGAGATCGAGTGACTGTACTATAACTGTATCTGATATAACCCAATCCCAATATGTATTTGCTAAAGATAAGATATTAACATTTACATTCAATCACTTGCTTGGCAGGCTGTCCGTTTTTAGTTGCGGCAAATGACTCCATGATGAGTAGCTGCCCTGTTCTACAATTCGTCTCTACCATGAAGTTACTGATTGGCTGATATACAAAGAAAAAGTAACTATGCGTATTGCGGTTTAAAAGCCAGAAGTCTTTGTGTACAGCTTGATGAAACCCGATCAATCAAAGGTTCTGTTTACTTTCTGTTGACTGCTCCAGATGGTGCAGGCTTGAGAACACGCCTTCTTTGTTCGCCAGCAATTCCGAGGGGTGACCCTCTTCTATGACCCGACCACTATCCAGAACAACAACTCGGTCAAAGTCGAGCATTGTATGAACTCTATGCGCAACCATAATGATAGTGCAGTTCTGGAACTCCTGGCGAATGACTTTCTGGACCTTGGCATCTGTCTCTGCATCCAGGCTGATTGTAAATGGTTAGCATTACTCGCATAGTCGCAAAGAAATCACATACCTGCTTGTCGGCTCATCTAGTATCAGAATATTACTCTTCTTGAGAAGCGCCCTTGCTAGGCAGAATAACTGTTTTTGGCCCTCAGACATAGTGGTATCAGTCAGTATCGCATCTAGCAACGCCCCGCTGTTGACGCCGCTGTTCGTCGCAGACACAAGAGCTTTCCAGATTTCGACACATTTGAGAGCTACGATGATATCGACATCGCTAGCAATGCCTAAAGGATCGACGTTTTGCCGAATGGTACCTGGGAAAAGGAAGGCTTCTTGACTGAGAGAGCTGATCCGGTGCCGAATTAATGCCCGAGGAACAGTTGATATGTCTATTCCGTCAATAAGGATCTGGCCAGAAACCACCTCGTTGAGACGGAGTAGTGATAGAGCCAGGGTGCTCTTGCCGCTATGAGAGAGTCAGCCTGTCCTCACCTCTACTAGAGTGTCTTTGCTCACCTTCCGGTCCTACCACACAGTCCAACTTTCTCCCCAGCACGAATATCTAGACCAATACTGCGTAACACGAGCTCTGCGTTCTCAGACTCATACGCAATGTCTGCACCAACGAATGAGATATCACCCCTACTTGGCCATTCTGTGTCTGGCAGCTGCTCATAGGCTGCATCTTGTTCCTCACTTGGGGTATCTTCCGAGAACTCCTTGATCCTGGCAATCGCACCCAAAGAAGTTTCCAGGAGAGTCCAGTTCTGAATCAGTTCTGAGAGTGAATCTCCCAGATTCATCATCCCAATCAGCGCAATACCTAACAGACCGGGGCTCACATGTCCGCGCAGAGCTACAGCAGCCCCGATAAGAATGACAGTCATGCCGGCCACCATAAGCTTTAGCACCAGACCGAGCCATTGCTGAATACACAGCAGGAGATAGAAGGGCCTTTGGGCTCTATCAAGTAAGTACAGCATTTTGGACGTGGAAGCGGTAGTCCATGAAAAGGCACGGATAGTAACGATACCGGCGAGCGATTCAATGAAATGGGTGTAAAGGGGGCTTTTGAGCTCGATCCTGGGGGTGTGTCAGTTTGCTGAACTGCGCAAAAGCATTTTGGTCAAATTAAAGCATTGTTGGCACAGACAAACGTACTCTAGCAGCCGTAACTGGCGAGATGTGCGCAGGTAAAAGCGCTGGACTAGCACTAGCATCCCAACTACGAAAGGCAGGGCTACAGCCAGATAGGGCAATGAAGCTACGGCAATTGCGGCTTGCGAAAGCGCCCCAACGATTTCTGAATGGCGCTTAAGTCAGATAAACATGTAGAATAATCCAAGGGCATGTATAATGAATGCAGCACTTACGGAATCCTGTGGAGATGAAACCTCGAGGGAGGATCATGTCCACTAGCCTCATGTCTTGGCTGAAACGGGTGATGAGAGAGCCTGTGTCTACATGAGATAGGAAGGACAAAGGGGCACTAGATATGTTAGCTATCTGGTATTTCTATTGGTGAAGAATTGGAAATCTCACCTCATGCAAGTTTGCAGTACGGTAGCATGGACATTTTTCGACGCGGCCGGTACAATGACGACCCAGGTCCAACTTATAGATGGAAACCAATCAGCATGGAAATCTAAACGGAAAGGTAGAAAGCTTCACTTACTATACCGCAAGAACCATTGAAGTAGCTTCGATGAAGGACAATGCCCCATACATTCCAAGCCAGTAACTCAATCTCGTGCTTGAAGAGCTGTCGGGGCTAGAGGACCACATCTCAATCCAAGCACCTATGCAAAAATGAGCATCATGAGACATTGATTGTTAGTGGAGGGGAATTTTGACATACTGCGCAGTCCACCAATACCACCATTCACCACCAGTAAGAAAATCAGGACAAAGACTCGGAACCAGCCCATGGCAGAGAAATAGTACTTGTAAACAGCAATATCAGTCGTCTGTCGGCGTTCATCGGTAGAAGCCGGGGTGGACGTGCGGCTTGGTATGACTTCAAGAGTCTCTGGAATCCCGATTGTATTGTCATTCTGCATCTCTTCTTTCTCAATACGTCCTGGTTGGATACCTAGCCGGTCAACATATCCTCCGGTGTTATCGAGAAGCTGAGAGAAGCTGCCTTGCTCCAAAATATTGCCATTTTCTCCAAGTACGACTATAAAGTCGGCCTGTGGTAGGTATTGGACTGCTGAGAGTCAGTATACACCATGAGTGACAAGATGAAGATATTGAGGGTTAGGGAGCGCACCATTGTGAGTCGTGAGGAATACAGTACAGCCCAGTTGACGCAGCAGTCCAGACGGGCCAAAGACATTGTTGAATACCAGCCGAGAGGTTGCATTGTCAAGAGCACTCAAAGTATCATCGAAGCATGCAATGCGCTTGCGAGCATAGACAGCTCGCGCTATAGCCTATAACAAAATCAGTTCACAAACCTGTTGCTATTATTTCCAGGCCGGATCGCCCTTATAGAGGGAAACATTGCACTTACAATTCTTTGCTTTTGCCCTCCACTAAGTTTAGAGCCTTTGCTACCAACGGACGTCTCATCACCCGCTGGCATCTTCTTAAGATCGGAATCTAGCGCACATGCGATCACCACGGTCGAATACCAATCAGCGTCAAACGCAGCGGATGCATTCTCCCCAATGATATTTTCCCGGATCGTCGTATTCGTTAGCCATGGAGTTTGCTCACAAAAGGCCAGATCTGGGTACTTGATGAAAGCTTCGCCATCGAGAACGGACGTCTCATTTGCGAGGCCTTTGAGGAACGTTGACTTTCCGCTTCCCACAGGACCGACAATCGCAACTAGTGTACCCAAGGGCGAGGGGCTTAGATTGAGTGTGATACCAGCACTATCTAGCGGAGAGCTATTCCAGCCAAACCGGGCATTTTGTAGGGAGATCAGCACGTCAGACTGATTCTCTGCCGAGGAAACTCCCCTAGTCCCGAGCCAAGGATAGTCAGAAAGCTCGATTTCGGTAGAATTAGTAGGTGACGCAGGATTGACTGCTTCTGATTGAAGCAGTTTCCTTCTTTCTGTGCGTAAATGAGGTTAATTTGCTGTACATCTTGCTCGGTAGGGTACATATCAGAGTGCTCACCAACAATATTTGGACGTCTCAAGAAGTCTTGGACTCGATAAAGACATCCTATTGATGCGAATGTGTCTGGAACTGCCAACAACAGATGAATGAGTGGAGTGATCAGCAGATTTATCAGCGAAAGGGCCGTGGTGGCTTGTGAGACAGAAAGACCATCAGACCCCTGCACCTTCGCAACCACAGCATAGGTCGCGAAGGTGGCAAACTGCGCAATAATTCTTGGAAGGTTTACTGAAAGGGTTTGTTAGTCTGATCCCGATGTGTTCAATCGAATTTTTTTGGGGAGTTGCAAGTCTACGTACTCATGCAGACACGGACGGTTTGGACTCGGCGGAACTTCTTGGATATCTCAAGCTCATCAATCCGTAAGCCTTCAATGGATCTCTTTATAATCTCTGTTAGTCCTAGAAACTTCACGTTTTTTATTGAGCCGAGAACGTGGCTGGTGAAATTGATGCGCTTCTCTGTAGCTTGTAGCCATGTCTTCTGCCGAATGGACACAGCATTGCCCATAGCAAAAGAAGCAGCGGTAAAAGCTAGCCAATTCTATTAATATCTTGTGGTCATCACTTCTCATGCGAAGAGTCAGAGAACATACCTGTTACAATCAAAATGGGTGTGATACAGACAACACCGATCTGAGTCTGAAGAATCCAAGCGGCCAGTCCCAGCTGTATGATGCTAGCCCAGGATTCGCACACTGTAGAGTGAAAGTACTCCGCAAGCATTTCAACGTCAGCACCCATAAGGGACATGGCACTAGACTCATCGGTGCTCCCCAGTGGCAGCTCCATCATGTGCTGGTAGACAAGAGCCATAAGGCCACCGCGGACCATGGTTGTAGCACGAAATCCCAGGTGCTGATAAGATGCCGTGGTGACCTAAAGTACAAATGTCAATTCATCAATGATCATCACCGGGGCCGGTAGAGTCCAATAATTGTTTAAAGATATAAGACTTACAGCAACCCCAATAAAGACAATTGCGGTAGCTCCTATCAATCCATAGCCAATATTCAACGAAGACTCGGTCTGCTCGAGGTATGTGACAGTCTTGCCAACTAGGAATGGCTGCGCTATGCTAAAACCGATCAGGGCGAGTCGAGGGAGAGCAATAGCAGCAATATCCCAGCGAAGGCAATTAACGACAGCCAGCAGCAACGCATGCTTACGACTCTGGTCACACAGCGCCCATGACTTTGAAAATCGATCAGATAAATCACGAGACGACAGTTTCTCGTGGATGTTAGGTAGCGTATCGCCAGTGAGCAGCAACGTGTGTCCTTTTCTCAGCAACTCGTTGAGCCAGGCAAACAAACCCCGACTAAAGAGCCCACTTGTACTCTCAATAGACTGTGTCTTTTCGGCCGTCAACAACAATTTGCGTTTTTCAACATTTGCCAGCACCAGGAGGAGCAACTTAGTAACTAGACACGCGGTAAGGCAGGCCGGATATGCTCTACCATATGGTAACAGCCAGGCGGTACGCACTCGCGCAATGTCTAAAAGCACCGTAATAGACAGATATGCAGAGACAAGGAACGAGGGACGAACAGCCCGGGTGTGCTCCAAATGAAGCAGAACAACAATGAAAACTGCCACTATAAGGCTGAGGGTATCACCCGCAACTGACACATACTGTGCGGGGTAGTGTTGCGACGCACTAAATACAAGCAGAGCGACTTGGATTCCTGCTAATACTGTCGTGATGGCCTGTATAGAGCGTTATTTAGACGTTTCAGCCCGGACCATTGACGAATAGCAAGACTCACCAGTGTCGCCAAATGAGTCAATGAAGATTTTACTTTCAAAGACTCTCTAGACAGCTGAAACAGACGAATTGGTAGCAGCAGGAGAAAACAGGCTGCTGGAGTAATGCTGAATATCCATGCTTCGAATAGAACTTGCTTGCAATGTCAGTATATGTGGAGACTGCCCAGATGCCCAGACATCGGAGATCTGCACCTGTAAAGTCGAACCCCCCACGACAACCATGTTGACTGACCACAGGCCCAAAGAGGCTGTCGCAGGTGTCCCCGACCACAGTCGACGCCATTGCACCTCACGCAGATTTGAGCTTCTGTGGTTCTCCGTGTGGAACAACGTTGGGTGAAATGGAATTTAAGGGATGAAATTGAGCCCCCAAAAAGGGCAGGGGCTTGTTTGATGGTAGCCTGATAACGAACACCGTTAACTCCGTACGGAGTCCGTTCAACTGAGCGGGGATGTTATGTCTCTTGCCTTGTTGTTCAGGCAATCCAAGTCATACCGCAGTCCAGTGGACGGGTAGCCCTAAATAAGTCGAGTGTCTCGGCTGAAGATGTATTTATTTATCGGTGATATTTCTTGAATTGAACAAAGGATCAGGAGATAAAATTACCAACACTATATCAAAACACTGTACTTCGCTGACAAATACATAGAAAAACGGTGAAAACCAAGGACAAAATCCGACTCCCAAAACCGGAGATCGAACAGGGAATAAAGCCATAAGCACCAAGCCAGGGAAAACAATAAGTGACAGAGAAACGAAGAAAAGATAACACCATGCCAAGGAGACCAGAAAAAAAGAGAAGATTAAACCCAGTGGGAATTGAAACAGCGAGGGTGTCAGTCGGGAAAGGCGTGAATGACAGGAATCCTCAGAAGGCTGCAGCCTGACACAGTCAGGCGCAGGGTTGAGCTCAATAACATCCGCAGATGAAGGAGAGCTGAGCAAGATTGACATGATAAACTCGTAATTTTGAACAGGAAGAGAAGTTGAAGTCGGCCCCTCGGAATTTAGCGTTTGTGGAGAGAGAAGAAAACTGCCCAAAAGGAATCTAAGGGAGCTCAGTCGTGAAAGGGAAGCCAAGGTTTGTCATGAGCCGTGCAGAATCCAGTCGTGGGATCATCAAAGGTCAACGGTTGCGTAACCACCGTTGAACATCCGAGGCGCCGAGAAATGAGGTGCAAAAGATGAGATGCATTATGGGGAGGGGAGGCGGCGTCAGGACATCTAGTAAGTTTCGTAGTCATCTGCCCACTCGTTGTCACTGCCAGCAACGCGCAGGACCTGCCCGGGATGCGGACCATCTGGACTGACACTGCGAATACCCTTGGCCTTCTTGCCATTGAGATCCGATCCATCCTCGGGTGCAAATCGTTTTCCTCCGTGTGCAGCACGGAGTTTGGAATAGTAAATATCGCTGGGATCTGCTTCTGATCCCGAGCCGTCCTCAAAAGTCTCCCAGTTTTCAGATCCGGAGGTTGCGGTGTTGACTGTAGAGGAGTTGGAGACCTGACGAGCAGCTGGGGGCGGAGCTGCGTGCTGCAGGTATGGGTTGGGTCGGGGGAAGGCTTGACTAGAGGAGTTCAGGGACAGTGACGACTGTGAGGAGTGAGATGAATGAGAGAATCCGGTGGATCTTTGCGAGTTCGAGAATCCCGAAGCGCTCATGAACGATCGCTGCCGGTCATCATAGACGTCTTCCGGGCTAACAGGCCGCACATAGGCACTGGACATAGCGCTGTTGCAGCGTGGTGGCTCCATAAGGTGGCTGAAACGGTCTTCCCTTGACTCGACCGTCAACGCACGCATCCGTGGGGGAGGTCCGCGTGGGGGCGGCATCTTTCCATTAAGTGTGCTGGACGAGTAGGCACCGGGTTGAATACGACGCTCAGGGGAGTTGTTTCCATGCGGCATGTTTCCCAGCGGGACACGGGCGGGGAGCTTCGAAGGGGATGTTGCACCGGCTCTTGAGGTGGCCCCAGATCTAGAGGCACCGTAGCCAATGGTGTTATGTTTAATTGGGCCGCTGCTAGTAGGGGTCTTGGTGGCTGAGCGGGGTGGAGGCGGGCCTCTCATGGAGCTTCCGGGGCGGGTAGGTGGGTGTTGTCTTATTGTGCTTGCTTTGGTAGATGAGGGTGGTGCAGATGGTGTCTTTGAGCGTGGTGGGAGCATTGACCTGACAGGTGTCAACAAATCAAGATATCGGTCTCCGTGCACCAGGAAGGGTCGGCCGAATTCGTCTTCCCAATGTTCCAACTCTTTCCGCAGGTCAGCTTCAAGTTTCGGCAATTCTTTGGCGATTCTCTTGCGCAGCTTCTCCTCTCTCAAAAGCTTTCCAGGGTCACGCTTCTCTCCCTTGTTTCCACGGCCCATGAGGCGGGATGCATCTTGGCTTGACGTTGCAAGTGCCTCGCGATCTGTCAGGAGAGTGCGGTGTCTGTCAATCATTTCGAGAGTAGGAGCGCGCTGCTCCTTAAGAGCCTCCAGTCGTGCAATTTCGGCCTCATGAGCCTCGAGCAAAGCATCACTACACACGTCGGAGAATGCAGGTGTGAAGTCAAGCATTTCCTCTTCGGAGAAGAAGAGAGTGTCCCAAAGTTCCTGCAATCGACAGCGAGCATCCTCCACAAACAGGTGGAGATTCTGTCTCTTAAGTTCGTTAAGGCGTGTCAATTCCTCTTCGAGGTCGTTGATTATGCGCAAACCGCAGCCCCGGTTCGCAGCCAGGAATGCCTTGCGATCAGCCTCCTCAACACCGAAGCGATCCCAAAGAGAGATCACAGTAGATCTGAGGTCGTTGATCTTGCGCTCGCGGCCCTTCTTTTCTTCCACCAATTTATTGCGCTTGGCCATGAGGTTGGCAACATCATCTTCATGCAGCCCCAGTTGCTCAGGGGATTCGCGATAACACTTCACGATAGTGGAATCTGTTTGCGCTTGGGGTGTTCCGAGCTCAGCCCAGAGCTTGATCATTTCTTCGCAGGCAGATTGGACCTGGGCAACGCGGCGGTGGTACTCTTCGTAGACATGGGTAAATTCGGCATCCAATGCGGTCACATACATAGGCGAAAGGTCGAAGCTCGGGGGAATCGAGGACCCTGGTGCAGTTGGAGGAAGCTCGAGCTTGACAAATGATGGCTCGAGGTGTGAGGAGTAAGACTCAAGCGCGTCCACAAGTTCTATTGGATGTCAGTAAAGGGGCATCATCGACACATCAAACAGAACTCACTCTTAACCTGCTCAAAGCGCTCACGATGCAACTTGCTCATTGAGTCGTTCTTCTCGCGCAAGAATGCAATACATTTGTTAAGTGGGTAAGTGACACGAAGGTCGTCGCGGTTAAGCTCGTACTGGCCATTGGCACGTTCATCGCTCAGGGACGATTCCATTTGTTGAATAGCTGTAATGAGACGTTCCGCTTCCTGCGTCATATCCTCTCTCTCCCTAAAAATAGGATTAGCAAGCCTCCAATGGGTCTGTTTGTGGATGCGACTCACTCATCAACAACCTTGAGGTGGTTGTTCAAGGTCTCTGACAGGGCGCTGAAGAGCTGTATCACTCTGTTAGCCACGCGACAATGCCATTGTTACACCAAGGTCGAGCTTACCTCCGCCTCACGGGACTCGCGCTCGCGCGCAGGAACCCCAATCTCGTCGTAAATCCCATGGAGCTGGGCGACGATGTTGTTGACCTGAGTGGTCAAGTAGCCGGTGTCTACCGCCATAGTAATGAAAGTCCCCTAATGAGGATGACAAAAGTCGAGGTTGATAACAAAGAATGGTATGTATCCAATCCAACGACACAGTGCCGAGCGAAGCTGCGACAGGGTGACCAATGTCGGGATCAAAACAAGAGAGCCTGGCACACAGGGTTCTCAACACACAAGGTGCGACGGAAATAAACGAAAGTAGAGGTTTGCGAAAGCACTTAGGGCAGCGACATAGGAAAGCGAACACACTGTTGTTTATGAGGGGGAAGTACTGAGATCGCAGATGATAGATAACATCAAGTTTCCAAGGTCGCAAGTGGGTGTTTGGGCGCGATCGTCGTCCTGGGCAACCGCTGACTCAGCCAGCCCCACCGCCCAATACTGCCAATCAATGATCAACCCCACGACCTACTCTACTCCATGCATTGACTTCTGATACTATTTATTCTCCGGTCCTTGCAGCACTGTCATTATCACTAAGCCCTTGCCTTAAGTACTCTGATTCTCCCAATACATTGTTTCCCCTTCCACTATCTGCTCCATCTCCATCCATCCAAAATGCAGGCTGCCCAGCAGGCCTGGGGTGAGTACCTCCATACCCATATGACAGCCAGCTTGTAATTAACCAATGTCCCCGCACAGAGCTGGAGAATGCGATAAGCGTCTTCGATCCTCAACGAGACGCCCTCTACGAATACAATGCCGATACAGAAAAAGCCCTCAACGACGAGCGACCATGGGCCACCGACCCATACTATTTCAAGCACGTCCGAATCTCCGCTACTGCACTATTGAAGATGGTGATGCACGCCCGTTCGGGTGGCTCACTAGAGATTATGGGTCTGATGCAAGGCTACATCCTACCGAACACCTTCGTGGTGACAGATGCATTCCGGCTGCCAGTTGAAGGCACCGAGACCCGAGTGAATGCGCAGGACGAGGCAAACGAGTACATGGTATCATATCTGCAGTCGTGTCGAGACGCCGGGCGGATGGAAAATGCTGTCGGATGGTATCACAGTCACCCTGGTTATGGGTGCTGGCTGTCTGGGATTGATGTGGCCACTCAGCAAACACAGCAAATGACCGGACCCTTTGTCGCCGTCGTCATCGATCCGGACCGTACCATCTCCGCGGGCCGCGTTGAGATCGGCGCTTTCCGCACATTCCCATCGAACTTTACCCCGCAGAAGGAGGCTCATGAGGACGACGAGTATCAGACTATCCCGCTCGGCAAGGCGGAGGACTTCGGTGCACATGCCAATCAATACTACTCTCTTGATGTCAGTCATTTCAAGAGCACTCTTGATACGGAAATCTTGTCCCTCCTATGGAATAAGTACTGGGTCGCGACTCTCAGCCAGAGCCCGCTATTCACCTCTCGTGATTTTGGTAACAAGCAGATCATGGATCTCAGCCAAAAAGTGCACAAAGCCGCGCGTGGAATGGAGAACACTGGTCCTCGTGCCGGTGGCGTCAACACCAAAGATCAACAACTGGACAAGGTTGTCCGCGGCGGACAGCGGATTGTTGCGGAGGAAGTGAAGGGTCTCCTGGCATCCGAAACGAAGATGAA